TTTTTTAGATTCCATATATATATATGTGTGTGTGTGTGTTAGCATACGGTATTTTTTTTCTCTTTCTGACTTACTTCACTCTGTATGGCAGACTCTAGGTCTGTCCACCTCAATTTCACAATTTGTATGGAAACACAAAAGACCCCGAATAGCCAAAGCAATCTTGAGAACAAAAAATGGAGCTGGAGGAATCAGGCTCCCTGACTTCAGACTATACTACAAAGCTACAGTAATCAAGACAGTATGGTACTGGCACAAAAACAGAAAGATAGATCAATGGAACAGGATAGAAAGCCCAGAGATAAACCCATGCACATATGGTCACCTTATCTTTGATAAAGGAGGCAGGAATGTACAGTGGAGGAAAGACAGCCTCTTCAATAAGTGGTGCTGGGAAAACTGGACAGCTACATGTAAAAGAATGAAATTAGAACACTCCCTAGCACCATACGCAAAAATAAACTCAAAATGGATTAGAGACCTAAATGTAAGGCCAGGCACTATCAAACTCTTAGAGGAAAACATAGGGAGAATGCTCTATGACATAAATCACAGCAAGATCCTTTTTGACCCACCTCCTAGAGAAATGGAAATAAAAACAAAAATAAACAAATGGGACCTAATGAAACTTAAAAGCTTTTGCACAGCAAAGGAAACCATAAACAACACACTCATTTCTTGTTGGTTGAGTAAACTGGACTATGGTAGAGACAAGCCAACATTTTCTCAGTCCTGCCCTACTACATGTCTAGAGCCTCATCTTAACTGGTGGATCAGCTGCTTTTGACTCTCCTGATTTGTGGCTTAAGACTTTCTGGGTGTTTGCATTAGTAATGGAAGTTGTGGAGGTACTATTGTTGCTGATACTGGGTGTTATCTCCGTGATTTTCTTTATCCTTTTCCTTACTGATCTCTCTAAGGCTGCCTTTCCAGATTAAAGTCCCTGTGAAATCGTAATCTGTGATCCTAATATAGACATTGTCCCACTGGTCTGCCTCTCCTCACACACTTAGTTATCAGTACACTAAGTCACTTCTCCCTCCTTAGGAATGTTGGAATATTGTGTTAGATGCTTAACAGTAAGAATGGTGGTGTTGGTCTTGCCTTTTGAAACATGCATGTGCTTTTCTCTATTCTTATTACTGTGGTAGTTCTGTTGGGAATTGCATGGAGACCTCTATCTGTACTCTTCTTCAACAACCTCAACCACAGCCTCTCCATTTCCTACTGGAAGTTATTCTTTATGGTAGTCCATTGTTCAGTTGCATCTTCTTTGGGGTCATTTCCTATTGATGAAATCGTGTCAATGTGTTATATTAAACCACTTCACTTTTCCCAAAACCTTTGTAGCAATAATCTTCTTGTCCCCACTAGTGGGTGTTACTGTTGTGAGGCTGCCAAGGGTGGTGGGGTGGGGGAGGAGTGGCAGCTGGGTCTCAGCCTCACTACTCGTGTTATGGAGATGGTAGCTCCTCTTAGATTGTGATGCTGGATAGCAGGGCAGCTCATGGCTCTCTGGGGTCTACTCTCCGCTTCCATTACCAGTTAAACTCAGTCTTTCTCTTGTTCACATCCTGTGGCAATCATAGATACACTGCTTGGATCTCCCTTTGAAAAAGAACTTCTTCAGCTTCAGGGAGTGCATTTAGCCGACAGCCTCAGCTGTTAATATCTTCAAGGCTCCATAGTTTTTGAGCTGAAGCCTCGTGTTTCCTGGGAAACCTCCAGCTAGTGACTGAGCATGGTGTGAGTACTAGGCCCAGTGTGGCACTCTGCTAATGGTCAGTCTTTGCTCTGGAGCTCCCTGATGGGTTGGCCAAGACTGTCAGATCTGCATCAAGGTCTGAGGTTTTCTTTGCTCAATCCTGCTTTATGTCCCCTTTCTTTCAGAGGTTTCAGATAGGCATCATGGTCTGAAAGTTTTCCATGACCAGTCCTGTTTCCTTCTCCTTTTATCTTTCACAATAAACCTCTTGTCCTCATAGCTGTCTCAACATCTGCTTCCCAGAGGACCCAACTGACATATACTATTTGTACTGGTTATTTACCTGATTTCTGTCCAAATCAAATTTCAGTGAGCATTATCTGATTTCCCTTTTTTTAATCCTCTTCCTTGAATCCTCTCAGTCTTTTCCAGCTCATCGTTTCCCCACCCCCGACACTTGCTTCTCCTCTAATGTACACTTAATCTGAGTAAATGGCACCGCGAGTTACTCAGTTGCTTTTACATTTGTCTTTCACATTTTAGTCCTTGACCCACTTAGAACTTTTTTGGAGGGAGGGAGAATACTGTGTGAGATAGGGATCAGTCAGTAAAACTGGAGAATTACCATAGTCAGGGATGAATGAGGTCACAGGTAATGAGGGGTCAGATCATGTAGGTCTTTGTTATATGACATTAAAAGGCCTTTGGAAGGACTTTGGCTTTTACTCTTGTGAGATGGGGAGCCACTGGAAAGTTTTGAGCAAAGGAATAATCTGACTTAGTTTTTTACCAGGAATGTTTAGGCTGTTTAGGGCAAATCTGGTAGAAGAGAGAGCAGTTGGGAGAGAATTGCAGTAATTCAAGATCAAGGCCTTGGTGGCTTACAACAAGGTGATCTCCGTGGAACTGGTAAGAAATGACAGTATGTGGGGGTAAAACTCGGGCATCATCATTTTATTTTGTAAAAAATCTCCCTAGGAGTTTCTGGTTCACAGTGAGGGTTGAGTCTATGCTACAGTTTATGAATTTTTACAGGGGTATTTGGAATTTAAGCCACACAGGCTTCTTCCTCATCAGCTTGATTTAGGAGAGAAGAGAAGCATAGTGATAGTAGCAAGTGCTTTTGCATCTGACTGAGGTTCAAATCCGTGTTAGTTATTAGCTGTATAACCATGAGCTTCAGTTTCGTCATTTTAAAAAGGGAGGTAGCTACTTCGTAGGTATGTTTGTTATGTTGAATGAACCAATGTAGATTAAATGAGCCAGTCTCTGACATATATGTGCTCACAAAGTAGTAGCTTAAAGAAAGATCTAGTCTATCATATTGGTAAAAGTATTTTAAATTGATGATGCTCAGTGTTGATAGGGTATAGAGGAATAGGTCCCATTGTTGATGGGAATATAAATGGAGAGCAATTTTCAAATATCTATCAAAATTTCAATCTCCTTAACCCAGTCTGCTTCTAGAAATGTTATTTATGAAAACAGTCACACCTATGTACATATACTCAGTGCAGCATCTTGTAATGGCAAACAATTGGAAACAATTTAAATTACTTCTAGTAAAGGAATAAATTATGATGCATTCCTTTTATGGAATGCTATGAAGTTGTTAAAATTAATGTTGATCTGTCATGGAAAGATTGCCAGTACATATTTTAGCTTTTAAAAAAGCACCAGGGCTTCCCTGGTGGCGCTGTGGTTAAGAATCTGCCTGCCAATGCAGGGGACATATGTTCAATCCCTGGTCCGGGAAGATCCCACATGCTGCAGAGCAGCTAAGCCCGTGCACCACAACTACTGAGCCTGTGCTCTAGAGCCCACGAGCCACAACTACTGAGCCCATGTGCCACAACTACTGAAGCCCACACACCTAGAGCCCGTGCTCCGCAACAAGAGAAGCCACTGCAGTGAGAAGCCCGTGCACCGCAATGAAGAGGAGCCCCCGCTCACCGCAACTAGAGAAAGCCCACATGCAGCAACGAAGATCCAACTCAGCCAAAAATAAATAAATAAATAAATAAAATTTATAACAAAACAAACAAAAAACATAAAAAAGCACCAGTATTAAAGCTGAGAGTATGTACTTAAATCTTCAAAGTTTGAATTTTTAACAAGATTATATTTATTTCTTCTTCAACTTTTTATATGAGCCCATATAGAAAAAATATTGATTGACAGTAACTTCATACATAGACAGTAATATGTATAAAATTATTAGTATTCATATTTTCTTTAAAGATACTGTATGCCTTGTTATTACAATAACATTGTTTTATATACTATATATCTGGATTTTAAAAAGATTTTAAAGAGCTGTAAATTATCCTAAGATAAATTATAGATGCCTCAAAGATTTCATTTAGGAAATACATATGAAAATTCCATATGTTCAGTACTTTATTAGGTAATATTGAAGATGCAGATATATAACAAATAGTTCCCATCCTTACTTGACTAATAATCAAATGGGTGGGTAAGATGAAAACAGATGAAATAAGTGAAAAAAATACACACACAAACATACACACGCAGTACTCATACTCCTATGTGTGTGTGTGTGTGTATATATATATATATATATATATATATATATATATGTTGATCTGTGCGATGACAAGTACATGACAGCATGTGCAATAGTATTTTTTGCAATGTTTATAATAGTAAAAAAAGTTGCACAAACCTAACTGACCATCAATAGGTATTAAATAAGTTGTGATAAACATAATGGAATATTATGTAAAAATGTAAAATATTTAGATCTATAGTTATTAACAGGTAAGATCCACAGTCTATTAGGAGAGGGAAAACAACTTTAATACATAACATATAACGTCTTCTCTGTATAGATGGTAAATACTGGAGTCGTCAAAGAAAGTAAGGAGTGGAATGGATTTAGAGAACATTTTTGATTAGTATTTCCCAAACTTTTTGGACTCAGATTCCTTTTCTTAATAATTTTAAAACAATTTGATCAATTGTACAGTATATGATAATGAAATTTAAAAGTATTTATATCTACATAGTATTAAAAAATTGCTTCATTAATTTTTGTTCTGTGTTCTTCAGAATCACTGTTGGCTCATAGTGAGTTCCTGGTCTTGACAATTGGCAAATTGATTTATGGTCCCATAGATAAAATTCATTCCCTAATCCTGAGAATCTGTGGAAACCCCTTGTAAGGAAAGTAGTATCATAGTTTTGTAAGTTTGTAAATTATAAAATTTTTTTGACAGTGTTTAGGAATACCATAATTTGTGGCATTTTAAAAGTGTATTTTATTCTCACTTAGGCCGAATACATCAAGCAATGGTAACATCTTTAAATGAAGATAATGAAAGTGTAACTGTTGAATGGATAGAAAATGGAGATACAAAAGGCAAAGAGGTATGATCACTGGGTTGAATTTTATTTCTAGTCTTATAGTCAAGATTCTGAATATGAAACAAAACAGAAAACTGTATAGTTTAATATAGTGCATGTATCCTTTATCATTCTTGAAAAACTTTCAAGTGATTAAAAAATTTCACTGATAAAAAGGTAGATTCCTCCTGCATATCTTATGTGATTGGACATATGATCAAGACCACAAAGTACTACCTTAAGAGAGATTCTTTTAAATATATGTGGGTTATAATTCTAGATAATTTAATTTTCAAGGTAATAATGTTCCTTAGGCTGAAATTGTTTAACATTTATTCTCTGTGTATAAATTTATTTGAAAATGAAAGGTTAATTGTCCAAATTCACTCTCAGAATATATGCATTTTATCAAACAGATTGACCTGGAGAGCATCTTTTCACTTAACCCTGACCTTGTACCAGATGAAGAAATTGAGCCCAGTCCAGAGACGCCCCCACCTCCAGCATCCTCAGCCAAAGTAAACAAAATTGTAAAGGTTAGTGATACAAATTCAGAGCAGGGTGTCTGTGTATTTTGGTTTGAAATGGGACTGTGAAGAGTATGTTTAAGTATTTTTTTGCTTTTTAAGAAAAACCTTAATTCTTTCTGCCATCTACATGCGTGTATATACACACATACTTTCAAGGATCGAACAGTTGTCTAATTCACAATTATGACGATCATTACGTAAGATCCTAGAAATTCCATGCCTGATTAGGATTTTTCCTAAGGCTAATTGTTTCTTAGGAGACATGGGTTGAAACCATTTGCTTGCTAATATTTGTTGAGTGAATACATATGATTTTGATAAAAAAAAAAAATGAGTTTCTTATTCATAATAAATTCCCATTTTAGTAGTCTTTTGAAATAGTAATTCTGCTATTTACATTTATTTAAAAAATGGGAAATGACAGATAGTAGTGTAACTATTTCTGTATTATCTGTGAAGAATAATTTATTTATAAATTTTAAAATCATGCTATGCCCCCTAACAGTTTTAGCTTCACAAAAATAAAAGGCACGTGATTTTTATTATTTTAAAAGATAATTCCTCTTCCTCTCTATTGAAATGTCTCTGTGTTAAAACTTTGTATCAGAATACAACTCTTTAAATCACATACTCCCTCACAGTTGTTAAATCTGCAATTCTTTGTGTTCAAAATTCTTAATACATGGACTTTCCTGGTGGCGCAGTGGTTAAGAATTTGCCTGCCAATGCAGGGGACATGGGTTCGAGCCCTGGTCTGCGAAGATCCCACATGCTGTGGGGCAACTAAGCCCTTGCGCCACAACTCCTGAGTTTGCGCTCTAGAGCCCGAGAGCCACAACTACTGAGCCCATATGCCTAGAGCTTGTGCTCTGAAACAAGAGAAGCCACCGCAATGAGAAGCCCACGCACCACAACGAAGAGTAACCCCCACTTGCTGCAACTAGAGAAAACCCGGGTGCATCAACGAAGACTCAATGCAGCCAAAAATAAATAAAATAAGTTAATCAAAAATTCTTACTACATTGTTGATTTTATCTTCTACAAAGATTAATATGACATGACTTTAGCCCTATAGGAACTCACTATTTTGCAGGGAAGACATACATAAGCATCCACATATAATATGATAGAAACTCAACAATATCAACAAAACTGTGCTTTTTAAACCATGCATATGACCATAAGACATTTTCAATTTATATAAATTCAACATATTGAGAGTCACTGCTTACATTCGTTAGTTACCCCTTGTTAGTGGACTGTTTTTCATACTTGGCTTCACAACCTTGAATGATCATCATAGTTTATCCTTCTTGGAATGTAATTAGCAACCTTTGGTGTACATTAGAATCACCTGGAAATTTTTTAGAATATATTGATTCCTAGACCCACTCACAGAGATTCAGTTTTATTTTATCTAAAGGGTGGCCCTGGGATTTCCCTGGTGGCTCAGTGGTTAAGAATCCACCTGCCAATGCAGGGGACATGGGTTCGAGCTCTGGTCCGGGAAGATCCCACATGCCGCGGAGCAGCTAAGCCCATGCGCCACAACTACTGAGCCTACGCTCTAGAGCCCATGAGCCACAACTACTGAGCCCATGTGCCACAACTACTGAAGCCCATGTTGCTAGAGCCTATGCTGTACAACAAGAGAAGCCACTACAATGAGAAGCCCATGCACTGCAGCAAAGAGTAGCCCCCACTCTCTGCAGCTAGAGAAAGCCTGCCCATGCACAGCAATGAAGACCCAATGCAGCCATAAAATAGATAGATAGATAGATAGATAGATAGATAGATAGATAGATAGTTTAAAAAAAAGGGTGGCCCTAGCATCAATATCCTTTTAACAGTACCCATCTGATTTGCGCGTGCAGTTAGCATTGAGACCCACTGCATGATTTGATATCTTTTTTTTAGGTGAATAAAATAAAGTCTTGGTAAATAAATAATAGGACCAAAAACTTGCTGCCCTATCAGTGTTGAAGTCTTTGAAAGTCTAATGAAACCTTTTAGTAAAAACCGACAGTGTGCATTTCATAGTATTTTGATGTTTCAGTTTAACAATGGGCTGTAAGTTGTCTAAAACTAGTATTTTGTTATTTACCCCTGACATCCAGAGATGAAGTGTATTACATGATTTTGGCAGGATAGCATGATGATTAAAAAACACACACTTTAATGAAATTACTTAATCCTTCTTTGCTTCACTTTCCTCATCTGTGAAACCAGAATAGCAATACTAATGATGTCACAGGGTTGTTGTGAAGATTAAATGGATTAATACATATAAGGTCCTTAGAACAGTGCCTGGCTCGTTTTCATTCCTGAATATTTTGGGGCAGTGGCGGGATACTCATATTAAAAAAAAACTTGAATATTGATGGCATTAGTGATAGTTTATCAGAAGATAATTTTAGTTTTTTGTCATTTATTTTTTCCCTTTTTTTCATTTAGTTTTATATTATTGTATGTCTACCCACGTATGTTTAATTAAAGGAAGCTGAGGCCATGTTAGGACAAAGGGGAAGGAGGAGAAGCGCTTAAACATCCCCCCACCCCCCCACCCCGCCTCAGTGGATCTTGCCTAGGATGGCAGTGGTTTAAAGGAGTGTGGGGGGGAGTGACTGGGCGTTGCCAGCGCAGGAGACGATGCCATTTCCAGTTACAACGCAGGGATCACCACAAACACAGCCGCCACAGAAGCACTGTGGCATTACCTCTCCCATCAGCTTAGCAGCCCCCAAGGAGACTGACTCCCTACTTACACACAAACTGTTTGAGACTGAAGCCCTCTAGCATTTTTGAAGAGGAAGAGAAACTTTCTTTTTGAAGAGGAAGAGGACTTTAATTTTGGGAAAATTAAATAACGTGGTAAAAGAGTGGATATGAGAAATCAGTGAAAGCAAGACTCTTCCACGATCTCTCGTTGAAAAGGTTGGTGGAAAAATTTTTACATTTGGATCTTATAGATTAGGAGTACATACAGAAGGTGCCGATATTGTTGCGTTGTGTGTTGCACCAAGACATGTTGATCGAAGTGACTTTTTCACCTCATTCTATAAGTTGAAATTACAGGAAGAAGTACAAGATGTAAGAGCTGTTGAAGAGGCACTTGTACCAGTTATCAAAACTGTGTTTTGATGGGATAGAGATTGATATTTTGTTTGCAAGATTATCACTGCAGACTATTCCAGAAGACTTGGACTTAAGAGATGACAGTCTGCTTAAAAATTTAGATATAGGGCGCATAGGAAGTCTTAACGGTTGCAGGGTAACCGATTAAATTTTGCATCTAATACCAAACATTGACAACTTCAGGTTAACCCTGAGAGCTATCAAACTGTGGGCCAAATGCCACCACATCTATTCCAATATATTAGATTTCCTCGGTGGTGTTTCCTGGGCTATGCTAGTAGCAAGAACTTGCCAGCTTTATCCAAATGCAATAGCATCAACTCTTGTACATAAATTTTCTTGGTATTTTCTAAATGGGAATGGCCAAATCCAGTCCTATTGAAATAGCCTGAAGAATGCAGTCTTAATTTGCCTGTATGGGACCCAAGGGTAAATCCCAGTGATAGGTACCATCTTATGCCTATAATTACACCACCATACCCACAACAGAACTCCACGTACAATGTGTCCGTTTCAACACGGATGGTTGTGGTTGAGGAATTTAAACAAGGTCTTGCTATCACAGATGAAATTTTGCTGAGTAAGGCAGAGTGGTCCAAACTTTTTGAAGCTCCAACTTCTTTCACAAGAACAAGCATTATATTGTACTTTAGCAAGTGCACCAACTGAAAAACAATGCCTAATATGGGTGGGCTTGGTGGAATCAAAAATCTGAATCCTGGGCTTCCCTGGTGGCTCAGTGGTTGAGAGTCCGCCTGCCGATGCAGGGGACACGGGTTCGGGCCCCAGTCTGGGAAGATCCCACATGCTGCGGAGCGGCTAGGCCCATGAGCCATGGCCGCTGAGCCTGCGCATCCAGAGCCTGTGCTCTGCAATGGGAGAGGCCACAACAGTGAGAGGCCCGCGTACTGCAAAAAACAGCAACAACAACAAAAAGTCCGAATCCTGGTTGGAAGTTTGGAGAAGAATGAATTTATTACACTGGCTCATGTGAATCCCCAGTCACTTCCAGCACCCAAAGAAAATCCTGACAAGGAAGAATTTCACACAATGTGGGTGATTGGGTTAGTGTTTAAAAAAACAGAAAACTCTGAAAATCTCAGTGTTAGTCTCACCTACGATATTCAGTCTTTATAGGCAAGCAAGAAACAGCAAGACGTTTGAGGTGGACATGAAAATTGCTGCAATGCATGTAAGAAGAAAGCAATTCTATCAACTACTGCCTAATCATGTGCTTCAGAAAAAGAAAAAGTGTTCAACTAAAGGTGTCAGGTTGACACCTCTGCATGACAGCAGCCTCGACTTGTCTATGGACAGTGATAACAGCATGTCTGTGTCTTCACCTACCAGTGCTACGAAGACCAGTCCATTGAACAGTTCTGGCAGTTCTCAGGGCAGAAGCAGTCCTGCTCCAGCTGTAACAGCAGCATCTATGACCAACATACAGGCTACTGAAGTTTCTGTGCCACAGGTAAATTCCAGTGAAAGCTCAGGGGGTATATCAAGTGAAAGCATTCCTCAGACTGCCACACAACCAGCCATTTCTTCACCACCAAAGCCTACGGTCTCCAGAGCTGTTTCTTCAACACGTCTGATAAACCCACCACCAAGACCTTCAGGAAATGCAGCAACAAAGATACCTAATCCTATAGTAGGAGTCAAGAAGACATTCTCACCTCATAAAGAAGAGAGTCCCAAGAAAACCAAAACAGAAGAGGATGAGACAAGTGAAGATGCTGTCTTGATTTGAGTGGGCATGATAAAACAAACAAAGGAAGAACTTGATACAGAGACAAGTACAACTCAATCAGAAACCATTCAGATTGGGCTTCCCTGGTGGCGCAGTGGTTAAGAATCTGCCTGCCAATGCAGGGGACACCGATTCGAGCCCTGGTCTGGGAAGATCCCACATGCACGGAGCAACTAAGCCCATGCGCCACAACTACTGAGCCTGCATGGTAGAGCCCACGAGCAACTACTAAAGCCTGTGTACCTAGAGCCTGTGCTCCGCAACAAGAGAAGCCACCACAATGAGAAGCCCACGCACTGCAACGAAGAGTAGCCCCCGCTCACTGCAAGTAGAGAAAGCCTGTGCACAGCAACAAAGACCCAAGGCAACCAAAAATAAAAAAATAAATTTATTTAAAAAAAAAAAAAAAAGGAAACCATTCAGACAGCGGCTTTTCTGTTGGCCTCTCAGAAAACATCCAGTACAGACCTTTCTGATAGCCCTGCTCTCTCTGCAAATCCTATTCCTGTTATCAGGAATTCAATAAAACTGAGATTGAATCAGTAAAAACAACCTCAGGGGTCCATAAACAATATCTGCCAACTCAACCTGTTGTCTTCAAATGCTAAGAAAGGAGAATGGAGGGTACAAGACTAGACATGACTGAAAATGGATTTAGGTTTTTTTTGTGACCTCCCTTACTGGGCTAATCAGCACTTGATTGGAAGTCCAGGTTAGTATGTGAAGCCAGGAGTACTGTGATTATTGTGTTAGCAACAGTTGCATTAACTATTTCAAAAAATTACTGCCTTTAAAAAAACAAAAAAACTCAAGCTGTATTTGTATTCATGTGGACTGAGTTTATGTTTGCTGCATTGTTTGGAAAATTTGCAATACAAGCTGGCATAAGAATTCCTCATTCTGATGATGCACTTTTATGTATTTTTTTTATTAGAAAGTAGAACTAATTTTAGATTTTCAGCTTGATAGATTTTCATTTTTTCCTGAAGAATTTCCTTTACCATTATTTTTCAAATTGGATGCCATTGTGCAGTGGTGTACTGTTGTACTTCAGAGAAAGGATAAGAGTACATCTAGTTCAGTCCCTATGAGGTAGCTGTAACCTTTAAAAATGAAATGTCGACTCTAGGGTATATATTTGACATTGAAAGAATAATTAGGAGATACTTCATTTTGATGGGGTCATGATTAAGAAATGCTATATTGGTTTTATTTATAGAATTGTTTAGAGTGCATCCAAATCAGTGATCAGCCAGCGAATATTTTTCTTTGAGCTTGTCAAAGCTCCACATTCTTTTGCCTTCAGTGTCTTGTCTTTGAAACAAAGGTTTTGCTCCCTCCGCGTTCTTTTTCTTTTCCCCTTTTTGCTTGTATGCATAAGGTAGGACTTCTTTCATAAAAAACAAAATGCCAGTATTTTCTTAAGCCATGATGTGAAAGCATGACCCTGTGGCCACATGGCACAGAACACTAAATTTTGGTCCCATGGCTGAAGTTTTAGGGTGACTAAAAATAATGCCTGTGAAACATGATATCTATCTTGGATGGCCATTTGATCTCTAAATATGAGGAATTTTATACGCTCCACAAAACTCCTGTCTATAGTAAAGTTGATTTTCAATTTTAAACATGTGGGCAAAAAGGCATTTTCTCCAAGAATTTTAAACAAATTTTTATTTTTAAATGGTCGACTAAAATTTGTCAGTAAATTTTACATGTAGAAACGTTTAAAAATCATTTCTAGCAAGCACTTGACATCTAGTCAGCTCTCTACTCCTTTTTTCATTTTGTTTTATCCTATCAATAAATAATTCCACATAAGTAAGCAGCAGTGCATTCATCTTTACAGAATATGAGGGATGCCAGATGTTGATAAGCTTAGTTATTCTTTCTTAATCTGGACAAAGCAAACCTAACATTTTTCTGATGAGCATGTTTTATGAATCCTCCATTGTGTTCCATTCTATCACATATACATTTTCCATGTTAAACTGTAATTACTTAAACTCTTCCCCTATCCTTCTAAATTAATTTTCCAAAATTGGAGTGTAGTCTTTTCCCCCTTAGACTATGCATTAATTGAGGCTTTCTTTTCACCATACTTTGTAATGTCTAGTATACAGTACTTCTACGTCCCACATCTTTGCTCTGCACAGTCACCTTGCCCTTCCTCCTACCACCTAAGAAGAAAAGATGGTCAGACTAACAGGTGAAGTCTACAAGGTGTCTGTGTGTTCTGTGTAGCTTCAGAGTTAGATTGAAATTGCCAGGTACAGATTTAGTCTTGTCATTTTGTTCACACATTGGGGAAAAAGAATTCAGTTTATTAAACATTTCATGTAACCGCACCCAAGTTTTGCCAAGCTGGGAACTTGGACCTTTTCTGTGTAGTGACTTTTTAATTCTAGTTTACATAACCTGGAGATCAGACTGTTGGTTTCGCATGATGTATGTAGTGTCTCATGACTGGAGTTTGCCTTGTTTTATAGTATCTGTACTCTTTGTATTTTTCAAGAGCTATTTTGTGAGCAGATGATGTATTTCTCCATTGAAACCACAATAAAAAATAAAAAACAGCAAAAAATAAATAAAGGAAGCTGATTATGATAGACATATATATGAGGAGTAAAGAGAAAGTAAAATGAACATTTTCTTTTCTGTAGAATCGACGGACTGTGGCTTCTATTAAGAATGATCCTCCTCCAAGAGATAATAGAGGTAAAAATTTACCTATTAATTTTGCCTATTGCCCTGACAAGGTAAATCAAAAGTAAATATTACCCTTGACGTTATTATTCATTTAAACTTTACATGGCTAATTTTAAGATTGATATCGTCTTGATTTCCCAACACAATAATGTCAATGATATAAAAAAATGATGTATAAAGGTATGTGATGAATGTGAAACTCCATGATATATGCCATTTTGAGGCATCTTATTTACCCAATAATTTTTCAGATTTGAGGAGAGTATTATGAGAAAGAAAGGAATGGGGAAGTAGTTAATTGATTTCACAAGGGTAAATTTAGTCATTGTGATATTTTTACATTATTTTCTGGCTAACAAACTTTCAAAAAATGTCATGGGTAACTTTGAAGACAAGTCGAACAGGTATCAATTGCAGTTAATTTCAGGTCTCTCATATGTTTTCAGCTAGGTGATATAAAGCACAGTTAATTTCTTTTCTACTGTTTAGCAGTTCAGAATGGTCCTTTCTCATAGTGATGTTTCCTCTGTATGTATGGATGCTGAGGCAGGACAGGTGTAGGTATTAGAGGAAAGATTGGAGGTAGAGGGAAAGTCCTGCACTTTCAGCACTATTCTTTGAGTCTTGTGAAAATTTGTATTTCTTTGTAAAATGTGATATTTATATTTAACCTAATATTGATTTTTCCACTTTTGTAACATCCACAGTGGGAAATTCTCTGTTGAGGATTTGCATATTTGACAAGCAAAGAGTGGGATTTAGAACAAAAGGAGGGTTGCAGGACTTTTACGTTTTTACTTGCTGTATTTCTGAATTGTGTACGTTTTTCAAAATGAGAATGTGTATAAAACCTGTATTCTGCACACTTTTTAAAAATTATTATTTAAAATCAAGCTTGGCTTTGTTTTTTATAAATTATTCAGATTGAATTTTATTTGTTGAACAGAATTATTACATATATTTTGAAATTCTGTTTCACTTTCAGTGGTTGGTTCTGCACGTGCGCGGCCTAGTCAACTTCCTGAACAGTCTTCCTCTGCACAACAGAATGGTAGTGTTTCAGATATATCTCCAGTTCAAGCTGCAAAAAAGGAATTTGGACCCCCTTGTATGTAAATCATGTATCAAGGATTCAGTCATTTTAGGCATACATGTATTTTCTCTTGGTCAACTTTATAAGTCCCCAAATTGCAAACTTAATTGCAGATTTTATTTTTACCATTGTGGAAAATTTTTTTTGTGGTTAGTTTAGTCTGTTAATTGGGTTTTTAAATGTATATTTTGGAGGAAACAATTTATAAATATAAAACTATAACAATGTTTCATTTGCTTTGAATTTAAAATTATGGCCAGATAATTTCGACAGATGTTATAAAAGAAATTCTTATGCTTCTTGATCCTTTCCAATTCAAAGATCTTTGATTCTAAACCAAGAGATGACATGTATCAATATGTTAGAGTCGTTTTTCATGGCTCTTATTTGTATATTGTCCTGTTCCTAGCTTTGTTAGAGCAGCTCATAAGTAAAGTTCACATATTTGTCATAGGCATGTTTTGTCACTGTGTACCTTTTTTTGGTGTGTGTGGTAAAATTTCATACATAAAATTTTTGTGTATAAGTATGGTACTCTAAAAAGAAAACAAGGCTTCTACAGCTCATCTGTTTCTTCCAGCACGTAGAAAATCTAATTGTGTGAAAGAAGTAGAGAAATTGCAAGAAAAACGGGAAAAAAGGAGACTACAACAGCAAGAACTTAGAGAAAAAAGAGCCCAGGTTTGTAACAGAAACATATTTTGTTTATGCACCAACCAAAGATTAGACTGTGTCAGTGAAAGTGATTGGCTTATGAAAAAATAATTGAAGCATTCATTTAAAGATTTCAATATAGTTCCTTAAATTGATATTGAGGAATAATATAAACTCTTGGGGAAATAAGTTATCGTAACAGATTTTTTACTACATAAACTTTTCAAGTTTTAGTGGGTATGTGTTAGTCCTAAAGCTTGTTCCATTTTGAATAGTAAGCCATTGTGTCACAGAATTCTAATGGATGTATAACATTGAGAATAATAGGATTTTGGCTTTTTAAAAAGGACTAAAAATACATTCAGAAAAACATCAAGTTAAAGTATATGGTTATACTATCCATTTTATTGTTTTTCCATGGTTAATAAGTTCAGCATATCACAATGAAAGGGTGGAAATTCGTTGTGTGTTGATTTATACTACATGTTGAGAGTATCTCTGATGTGCCCCTCTTCTCACATTTCCTTTAGATAGTAGCAAAACTTTACTAGCAATGGAAAAGTTGCTTAGAAGACTGGTCTTTTATCTCTCTACAGGTCTTCACATATTAGAAATTATGCTATTGTACAAATAATTCCTCCATTGTGCTTGTATTGTATCTGTTATATTCTCAGAACTTGTTTCCTGTAATAAAATACCAGGATTGTTTCCTTATTTAGGAGTATGTTCAAATGCCCTTAATCATAAAGATGTTGTGTTGTGGAATTGTGGAATCAGTATAATATTCAACCTGAATAAATCAACTTATATCTGAAATGACCTGAGAATGACCAGTTGGGTTTTGAAATGAATAATGCTTGTATCTACTGATACTTAGTACAGATGCCACCTGGTGTTTCCTGTGGGTACTTCATAATATTTTTACATCCTTTGTGACCTCTTCTTTACATTCTGCTTCTCAGTTGACATAGTTGGTGTTATTTCTCAAAAGGTTAATTGACAGTATGTTACATTAACAGTTTTGAAATTTAGCTGTACTCAAAGCAAATCTGCATATAGTATATGGGAAAAAGAACCTGACCTAAAATGTTTAACAATTTATACTCATAGCTAGGAGAGGCTGTTAACTGTTGCTATTTGTATCTTAATCTGAATTTTCTCAGTTTTGAAGCAAAATAGTAAATTGCAGTTAGCATGCAGTAGTTTGAATTTTAAAGATTTAAAAAATTATCTTGGCTTTTGATTCCTTTAAATTCTATGTCCTATTGATTTGGGGCTGTATTATACCATGCCTTAGTTTTTTTTAGAGAGTCATTAATAATAGGAAATGAACATAAATGAATCCATAGTTCTACTTTGCTGAAACACTGAATTAGGAATTGGGAAGAAGAATCTGATTAAATGCATTTTTCTAAGAATTTCGGCGTTTCTGGAGTTCTTTATTGATGTTTACGATGAGCACTGTTTTTGTTTTGCTCAGTTTTCTAGGAGAATTAAGGTATACGTATAACATATTTGAAATAGGTCAAAGGTGGTTTTAATAAGGAGTATTTTGTTTGGAGTTAACAGAATGCATGTAGACTAACAGAATTGTGTTTTTTTTTGTTTTTTTTTTTTTTTTGGTACGCGGGCCTCTCACTGTTGTCGCCTCTCCCGTTGCGGAGCATAGGCTCCAGACGCGCAGGCTCAGCGGCCATGGCTCACAGGCCCAGCCGCTCCGCGGCATGTGGGATCCTCCCGGACCGTGGCACGAACCCGCGTCCCCTGCATCGGCAGGCGGACTCTCAACCACTGCGCCACCAGGGAAGCCCCAGAATTGTGTTTTTTAATATGAAAGTGATTCCTAGGCATACTGTTAATCTTGAACTCTGAAACTATATCACATCTCAGGTTTGATTTTGGGCTTGGCTGTTATAGATGATACAACCTATTTAATTTTCAAACCGTATATAGCATAAACGCAACAAATACTACATTATTGTAATTATAATAAATGATGAATTCTCTGTCTTCTTACAGGATGTTGATGCTACAAACCCAAATTATGAAATTATGTGTATGATCAGAGACTTTAGAGGAAGTTTGGATTATAGACCATTAACAACAGCAGATCCTGTAAGATTCTTTATTAACAGTTGCTCTGGAACTTTTTATGCTGTAAATAAAAACATGTTTGATACCCCCTAAGTTAATACTGTATTTAGTTCTGTAATTTTTTCTCTCTTTATGGGTGCTCCTTCTCCATATTTTAAGAAGATCAAGAAACCATTGGGAATTCCCTGGCGGTCCAGTGGTTAGGACTCTGAGCTCTTACTGCCAAAGGCCCGGGTTCAGTCGCTGGTCTGGGAACTAAGATCCCACAAACCATGTGATGCATCCAAAAAAAGAAAGAAAGAAACCACTCACACTTACCCTTATTTTCTCATTATTTCCCATAATTTGATACGTTAGACATGCATCTCACAAAGATAATCCACTTCAAAGCAAGCCTCTGTGTCCTTGGTAGGACAGAGCAACAGTCAAGGATGATGTCAGAAGACCCACTTTCCTTTCTGACCATCACTTATACTTTTATCTCAATTCCAAGTTTGTTTCCTCTTGGCTTGGGCTGTAGATCCCACCATCATTCCAACTTACTACTAATTTATTTTAAAATAAATGTTACTCTGGCTTTTAACAATAAGTGATGGTTGTTGAGGACTGCTGTAAACCAGAAATCTAGTGCTTGAAGAATGTTCTGTCTTATGCACCTCCTTTCCTATTGAAGAATGGGAATTTATTGGACAGGGAATACTTTTGTGAGTAATTTGTATTTATGAAAAATAATCCATCTGACCTAGTGTATACAGAATGTATTGGGTACACAAAATACATCTGACCTAGTGTATACAGAATGTAGTGGATGCACAAAATACATATAATACACCTGTGTTAAGGCAGGTGTATTATATATGATTTAATAGAGTAGTTCATAACATTTGCATCTCATATATTTTACTCCTTGCTACCCTTTCATTTGTTTAACCTACATCTGAGCTCATACTTTATGACAGTGACTGGAAAACTTTTTCTGAAAAGGGCCTGATATTTTTGGCTTTGAACCATATGGTCTTTGTTACAACTACTCAATTCTGCCTTTGTAGTATGAAAAGCAGCCATAGACAATACATAAATGAATAGGTATGGCTGTTTCAGTAAAACTTTACAAAAGTGGGTAGTGGCTTGGATTAGGCTTTCAGGTCGTACTTTGCCAATTCCTGCTTTATACTAAATATCAGTAGAAGGCAAGTATTGGGAACATTAATTTTATGAAAAAATTTAATGTCTAAGAATTGGCATATTATAAAATGGTTCAAATTATTTTGGCCAATAATCTTCTGAGAACTGTGTTTCTTGTCTACAGCTAGTTATCTTTGCCTATAATTTTCCCTATAATCAATCTGAAAATATGCCACTTGGTAGGAAATTTTACTTTTGTTGTGTACAGCACATCTTGAAGTGAATAAGGTAGTTTCTTAATGTGAACCTATTGCTACTAAGAGTGGTGGTGTCCTCTACAAAGTTATTTCCCAGTGGTTTACCAAATGACAAAATAAGCGAGTTTCCATTATACTTAGAATTTTTGAAATAATTGTGTCTGATGGCTATTAAAATTTCTTCAAGCTAATTTGTTTTTTAAGCTTACTTATCCTATTTATGCTATGCATAAATTTCTAAAACCTTGGGAGGAAATATTACATAATTAACTTTTCAGTGTTTTATATACCACTGATAATCACTGGAAAAAATATTTTATTTTTAGATTGATGAACATAGGATATGTGTTTGTGTAAGAAAACGACCACTCAATAAAAAAGGTATGCTTATTGAGTTCTAATCAAGGGTTCATTTTTGTCCTGTTTGCAATTTATTTTGATAATAGCAGAAATCAGATTGGTTTGGAAGAGTTAAATGTAAATCATTTCATTTGTACATAACCATTATGCAGATTTCTGTGGTTAGGTCTGTTGATGTGTTACTGTTCTAAGAATCTTTGCCATTCCTGGCTTTACAGAAATCTTGATTTTATTTATTTATTTTTTTTAGTTTGTTGTTGAAATATTCTGTTTACTTGAATGGCATATTTATGGGATATTTATATTTACAGAACTTACTACTTTTATCGAAATTCTTACTACTTAAAATAATTTTTGTGCATTAATTCAAATACTGTGAAAATTACTGGGCACTGATTTTCATTTATTCTTTTAGAAACTCAAATGAAAGATCTTGATGTAATCACAATCCCTAGTAAAGATGTTGTGATGGTACATGAACCAAAACAAAAAGTAGATTTAACAAGGTACCTAGAAAACCAAACATTTCGTTTTGATTATGCCTTTGATGACTCCGCTCCTAATGAAATGGTTTACAGGTAGGTAAATTTGTTTTAAATCAGAATTTTGTTCTTATACTGTGTGTTTACCACCACCACTGAAACTTATGTTGATCTTGGCATATCTCTCCAGAGGTGTAATATCCTTTTCTTTCCCCCTGAGTTTAAACAAATAAGAATATTTAATAAACATGATAATGAATTTTAACACTTGTTTTCTTTAATGCTCCCCAAATCAGTTTTCATTAATGATTAACTTTATACACTCTATAACATACTATATGTATGGATAAGAAATTTCTAGGAAACATTTTCTGTACCTCTAGAGATGGGATGTGGCTATTTTTTACTTTTTGATCTCTGCAGTAGTGAAGAAATTTGAAATAACTGTTATACATCCGTCACTTATTTGTCTAAATCTTTATTTAGCACATATGGCCACTTAAGGAAAAAAAAGTTCTGTAAATCTACTTGCATTTCCCTAGTTTTATCACTTCTAAGCTTTGGAATAGTTTTAGTACATGAAATTCTTGCATGTTCACATGTTCAACTTACAAACAACTCAAACTTACATGTATTGTGCATTGATATCCCACATTTTTATCCAAATTTAGATTCTTGTACATAGTTTGTAAACATTTACGTCTTATTATTTAATAGGTCAGTTTTAGCAGCATTGTTATTTCAGTCTATATTAAATTGTCTTGACAGTTACTTGAATGCTATGTTTCATTGCCCTTTTATTTTATAAATTTGACTGGAAAACAAAGTTAAAGGGTTAATAAGAATCCTAAGAATTGAAGATGTTATAAATGAGATAAGACCAACTCCACTGGTCTTAAGCCAGTAAACTGGGAGTTCAGCTGTAAAGAAAGAGGAAAAAACTAAAGAACATGTGAATGCTAGATAGAGGTATTGTGAAAAATTTGTTTTGAAAGGGAATTATAAATTGTGTATTTTTTACTTTTTTGAGAACTGAGTCCTGTCCTCCCCCCTCACTCCCTTCTCTGCTTCCATTCCTGTCTCATAAAATATGTCTGTCTGACTTTTGTAATCATTTTCAAGAAATCACTATAAATAAAAGTATGTTTCTGTGTATGTGCTAGATTTAGTAAACATTTTGTGTTTCACCCTGTATTTATGCTTCTTAATTTTACCAATATTGATTCTCTCCCCTTTCTCTTATCCTTAACTTTTATGGACTGAGAAGTTAGGCTTGTTTTTTTTTTTTTGTCTGATCACTCTTCAGACTCATTTCCAGTTCTTTTTGATTAGAACATTTTCCTGCTCCTTTTGTTCTGTACTTTCTCCAGTTTTGCCTTAAAAAAAAAATCAATAGAGCTGTATAAAGTGTTCTACATATATTCTTTTGAAGACTGTGTAAAAAGTAGATTTGTTTTCTATCATGCTTTTAGGGCTCTGCTCAATGAAGTATTTTTTTGTCCCTCCCTACCTTTTTATTTTAACTCCAGCAATGATTATACCAATACATAATATTTGGGCATCCTTTTCCTGAATCAAGACTGTCAACTCAGAATTCATTGTCTTATAAGCATAATTTATATTTACTTACTCACATTCAAGGAAATTTTACCACTTTTATACTTGTTTAGATAATGTTTTTGTACTTTTTTCCCCTCTAGCTTTTCTTGATTCTGTTTCTGTTGAAACCATTGATACTTTTTTTGGGTTGGGTTGGGGTTTTTAGTTTTGGTTTTGGTTTTCATATCTGTCCTACTTGTCTGGCTGATATTACCGTATTTTGTTGTTTTTTTTAGAACTTTCCTACTGTCTTCTATATATTATGTCTTTAGCTCAGTTACTATCAGGTTTTTTTCCCTGTCCATTATTCTTGTGACCCTTGTTTATTTCGGAATTATTGCTTGAAAATACGCTTTAAAGAGCTTTAAGCAATTCTAGGACATGGGTATTTAAAATTTTAAATCAGTGGTCAATTGTGGCCTCGCAGTTGATCCCACTGATTTGTTAAAAATCTTGGTATAAGCTTTGCTTATAATAACACTTGATATTAGTTTTATTGTTTATTTGTTTAATTTAAATATTAACTGTATGTTCCGACTGGTACATTTTATTTTTAAGATTTACAGCTAGACCACTAGTGGAAACTATATTTGAAAGGGGAATGGCTACATGCTTTGCTTATGGGCAGACTGGAAGTGGAAAGACTCATGTAAGTAATTCATTACAGTTACATCCTGGTATGAAGCCAGTTTATTTTCCTTATAGCTTAATTCTAAGACCTAAATTCTATTTTCTTTTTAACATATAGACGATGGGAGGTGACTTTTCAGGAAAGAACCAAGACTGTTCTAAAGGAATTTATGCATTAGCAGGTAACTCCCCTTTTTGCATATTATTTATAATATTCTTCTTGAATATTATTCAGGTGGCTTGGAAATAAGATTTGGAAGTACTGTCCAGAATTTTAAGGGTAACTAATGCTATACTTACTATATATTATGTCAGTTTTAGATTAGTGGACTGTTTTGAAAAGAACTGTGCTTTGGGGGCAAAAATCTTGATTATGTTTGTGTTGTAATCTGGCACATTGTTGGAGCTTAGCGTTTGTTGTTGAATAACTGCTTTGTGAAAAGTTTCCATTTGGTATGATTATGAAGGTAACCTTATTATGACCGCCTATAATTTTATGCTATTTATAAAGATAAGTGGTAGCATTCTCTTCTTGAATATGAAGGAGAGTGGCCTCTAAACTTTAAATGTAGAAAAACTATTACTACTATTTCTTTTGGAAAATTAATATCCACTTTAATCTTCATTTTTCTTATTGATACTATCATTCTAGGTAAACATTAGTTGATTTGAATTGCTTTTTAGAAACAGAAAATTTGAATTGCTTTTTAAAAACAATATTTGTTGCATCTTAATAAATTTTCTCCATATGCAATTATTGACAGCTCGAGATGTTTTTTTAATGCTAAAGAAGCCAAACTATAAGAAGTTAGAACTTCAAGTGTATGCAACCTTTTTTGAAATTTATAGTGGTAAGGTAAGTGGAAACTTAAAAATTTTATTTTAGTTTTTTAAATTATGGTTAAAAATGCATAACATAAAATTTACCATTCTAACCATTTTTAAGCATAGAAGTTCAGCAATATTCACATTGTTGGGCAGTCATTGCCACCACATAATTGTTACATGTATTTGGAATATTATGTTAAAGTTCTGTGATGAGATTTTTTAAAATTCCCTTTGAAACTCTTTAACTTCAGTATCGATCATTATTATTCTAATAACATTATTACTAGAATTCTCTGAAATAATTTTCGGACTCTGAATGACTCATTTTTATAGAACTATTCTTTTTTTATTTTTAAAGCTAGCTTTCTTTCTTTTTTTTTTTTTAGGTTTTTGACTTGCTAAACAGGAAAACAAAATTAAGAGTGCTCGAAGATGGAAAACAGCAGGTTCAAGTGGTGGGATTACAGGAACGGGAGGTCAAATGTGTTGAAGATGTACTGAAACTCATTGACATAGGCAACAGTTGCAGGTAGCTCTCATTTTAATTAAGAAAGCGAAACAGTTTCATGATCAGTTTTAGATACTTTGGGTATAACAAAAGCAAAGCAAGGATGTTATTCAGTGCATTTTGGACATAAAAATCAATATTCATAAAAACTTTTGAAGTATGCCAGATTAAATTGTATTAATCTGGTTATGTTTGTGTTGTTAATTCAAAATGTCTCTTTTGTATTTAAATAATAAAAACTCAATAGTTTTTTCTTTTTTTAATGAAAATATTGTGGTTTGCACATATAAATTGAACTTTTTACATATCAGAATGTTTTTAATTACATTGTAGAACATCCGGTCAAACATCTGCAAATGCACATTCATCTCGGAGCCATGCAGTGTTTCAGATTATTCTTAGAAGGAAAGGAAAACTACATGGCAAATTTTCTCTCATCGATTTGGCTGGAAATGAAAGAGGAGCTGATACTTCCAGTGCAGATAGGCAAACTAGGCTTGAAGGTGCTGAAATTAATAAAAGCCTTTTAGCACTCAAGGTAAATAAAGTGTACTTAATTGTGAAAAGTCTTTTACTTTTGACTTCATTTTTGTTTACTCAGTTACAAAATTATAGTATTTGTTTTTTCTAATAAGAGAGGTATCAAAATTTGTTTATGTTTGCAGTTATAGATTTATATTGTACCCAGAAATTTTCTTTACACATATTATTTATTCTTTTTAAGATAGATAAAGATCTGTTAGTTAGCAGGCCAATCCCAACGCTGCTTAGGGAGATTCCAGAGGGCCTTAATCATTGATCAGTCTTTTTTCTTGAAGGAGGGCAAGGAACCACAAAACTGAGCTAAGAAAGTTTCTCAGAAAAATGTGGAATGGCTTTCAAAAAGTTAGGCCACTATTATATATCTTCCTTGACTAGCAAAGCAAAGAAAGCATTCTGTTTTTTTCTTTTGTAGTACCACTTTAGAAGTTTAACTTTTTACAGTTATCCTACTTCCTGTTACTTCTAAACACTAATCATAGTCTCCAGAAGAATCTTTTGGAATTAATAAAGTAGTCTTTTGGATTGGGTATTTTTTGTTTTCCAAATTTCATTTTCTTGAATTAGGATTTATAGGAACATTTCTACTATGCTGTAAATCTCTTAATAGAATTTTCAGAGCTGATCAGATCTTAAATGTTAGGGTTATGGTAACAGATGTTTTAAATATGTTCATTAAGATTACTCTTTATAAAAAGTAAAATCTGTGAAATTTGCTTTCTTAATTTTCAGGAGTGCATCAGAGCCTTAGGTAGAAATAAACCTCATACTCCTTTCCGAGCAAGTAAACTCACTCAGGTGTTAAGAGATTCATTCATAGGTGAAAACTCTCGTACCTGCATGGTAAGTTTGTTTGTTTTGTTTTAATCTTAAATGAATAATTATGTAGTATATATGGGAAAATTATAAAATACATTAATGACAGTCATTTAAAGTCTATTGTGAGAGATACAGTGATACTTGAAAATGTGGTCCCTGCCCGTCTGATAGGATTATATTGTAGTTATAATGCATTCTACTAATTCCAACATCTGATTCTTCGTGAGATTGGTTTTCATTGATTTCTGTTTTCCTTGCATATTGGGCACACTTTTCTATTCATATATCTAGAATTTTGGATTATATAATTTTCATTATGAATGAATATTTTATGGACACTCTGGATTCTGTTATGTTCTTCTAAAGATTATTGATTTTGTTATTGTTGTTATTTTAGCTGGAAGTTAACTTAGCTGAACTCCAAACTCTTGTCTCCCCAGCTGTGGGCATCAACTGACCTTGAAATCTCTGTTTAGCTCTTTTAGACTTAGCTGTGTTTCTTGCAGTCAACCTTGTGTTCAGGGGTCAGCCAGAGATTTCGGTAGTATAAATATATATGTAGAATATGAGTTTCTTCCTCTGTGGTTCTCTTCTGGGACAAACTTCACTTCCCAGCTGCTATAGTGCCTACCTCCAAACTCCATCCTTTAGTTTAACCAGTGAAACTCCAGATTTCTATTGAAGTTTTAGTTGTCCTGTGTGACAGCAGCAGAGTTTGCCCTTAGGCAAAAAAAGTTATCAAAAGTAGGGGCGGACAGTCACTCAATGTTACTCCCTTCTTCTAGGTGTTGACCTTCATTTTCTGCCTGATAGTTGATCATTTTGTGGTGCTATCAGAGTTGTTTATATTTTAACTGGAGTTTATAATTATTCTTTGATTATGGGTATGAGATAGTGAATTATCTTGGAGCTAAGGTATCATTAATAACTCTTTTTTTAGATGACCATGTTAAAATTAGACCTGACTGAGCCATATGTCAGTATTACTTGTCATCATTTATAACATTTTCTTTACCTTTGCATTTTTCCCCTATAGATTGCCACAATCTCTCCAGGCATGGCATCCTGTGAAAATACTCTCAATACATTAAGATATGCAAATAGGTATGAGAAATGGTTATTTATTTTGAAATTTGAAGGGAATAGAACAATATATGGTTTGATTTAATATCTGATAGGGTACATCTTACTGCATTGCTCTTTACATTTTCAAGAGAAATTTGCATGTTATTCATTGAAATGATGTCTAGAATCATTTTGTCATATTCTAAAAATAATTGGAAATTGTAATTTGGGAAGACATATTTTTAGTAGAATAGGTCTTATAATCATAGAACATGATTGTATTTTTCCATTAACCAAGTTATATTTCATAATATTTTACTATATTTAAAATCATGAAAATTCTTATTATTATTTTAAGACTCAAAAGTGAGTATCAGGAGCCAGTCCGTATTTCTTAAATTGTTTTGCATATACTGAAAATTATTTCTGATAATCTTAAATATTATACATGGGGAAGCTAGAGTTTAAGTAGTGATAGCACAGTTCTTTCTGGTGTTCTGTATGGGTTACATTTTATTATTTATGGCAATAGTGTTACAGACATTAATGGACAATTGCATTATTACAAATGAGAGGACAAAAAGCGTTACACATTATTAAAGCAGTTTATTCCTTATAGTCACAAAATGCCCTTGGAATTTTGGATTGTAATAGGCATGTTTATATTTGTTCCAGAGATTTTTTCCCATTGCTCTTGTTTTGAATGACTATATATATAGTTTTAAATTTGTATTATCACATATTGCATTTGTGATTTTAACCTAGAGATAAAATTCCTCTTTGTATTCCATTTCTAGTGTGGAGAATCTCTTAATTTTGCTAAACATGAGTATTTGTACTATTTTTTTGTTTTAATCACTATGGAAATTTTATTTTTAATCTTTCATTAAAGTATGAAATACATATGCATACAGAAAAGTACCCAAAACACAAGTGAATAATTTAATGAATATTTACAAAGTGAAAATTCCTGTCATCAGACCAAGAAATAAAACATTTCCAGTCCCCCATAAAATTCCCCATGTGTCCCTTTCTAATCACGAATCCTGAATAACATGCCTAAATCCATTAATTTCTACCCCAAGGTAGCCATTGTCCAGACTTTTGTGGAATAAATTTCTCAATTTTCTTTCTCTCTTTTTAAAAATAGTTTTACTACCTATGAATGTATCCCTGAACGATATAGGTAGCTGTATTTGAACTTCACATAAATGAGATCATATGCTTTGTTCTTTTGTATTTTGCTTTTGCTTCAGCTAAAGAGATTTTTAAAAATCATCAGTAAAAACTGTTGGAAAGTATAAACTTATTGACCTTTTGTAAAGATATTAAAAATAATAACTTTTAAAAATAATTGAACTTTATTTTTAAATTTAATACCCTTTAAACTTTGAATTATAAGGTTCTAGCTATGAACCTTTATAGTACTTTTTTTTTTTTTTTTTAATGTGGTACGCGGGCCTCTCACTGTTGTGGCCTCTCCCGTTGCGGAGCACAGGCTCTGGATGCGCAGGCTCAGCGGCATGGCTCACGGGCCCAGCCGCTCCACAGCATGTGGGATCTTCCCAGACCGGGGCATGAACCCACGTTCCCTGTATCGGCAGGCGGACTCCCAACCACTGCGCCACCAAGGAAGCCCCTATAGTACTTTTAATCATTCTTTGTAGTGAACATTTTTGGTATTGTGGGTTTTTTTTCATTAATTTAAAATGCTTCTTGTTTCAGAATTGTTCATGGGAGAGATGAGGAACAGCTTAGTGTAGTAAAATGATTGCCGTGTTGTAGAATTAAAACCCTCCATGTCTTCAGACTTCTGGCTGCAAAGGAATCCCCCTAATGTGAAAATGCTGTATCTGGTTATTCCTCTAGTTCATTTAGATCCAAGTAAAATATTTTAATTTATTATCATGTAATGTGATTCATTTGCAACCATTACTAACCATCTAGGACAAATAATTCTGTCTTTTATTTCCATATCTCTAGGAATAAAGATTTTCAACCTCATTTGATAGCTCATTTGAGGAATATAATTCCTGCATATAGAATAGTTTAGGTTGGGCAAGAGAGCTTTGAATAGAGGAAAAATGTGGTTAGGGGCTAATAGGTATCTAAATTAGGAGATTCTGAAAGAATAAGTAATGGGGTTGGGAGTAAAAAGAGTTATTAGGTCAGTATTAGAAATTTAGGTTTGTCAGCACGTGTGTAAATAAGCTTTCCAAAAGGATAAAGGCAAAGGAATCTGGTATTCAACCTTTCAGAGTAGATATTACCAATAGGTCAAAGAAAGATTCTAAGTAAAAGAAATTATTAGTTTGATCTATGTGACTGTTTTTGATGTATAACAATAGTAATTTCATTTAGTTCAACCTAAGAGAAGTAATGAGAAAAACAGAGAATATGGTTAGTATATTGAAGTGTTTAAACATAAGGTTTGTACTCACAGCTAGGTTTGAACTTCAGTTATGCCACGTTCTCATTGAATGAACTTGGGTAAGATACTTTATTGCTCTGAACCTATTTCTCATCTGTAAAGTGGTGATAATAATATCACAATATTGTCGTAATGATTAAATAATATAATGTCTAAAAAATATTAATCATAATATCTGATATATAGGAAGTAATTAATAAATATTGCCTACTGTTATGAAATGGGATTGGCCTAAAGAGGACATAGGGAGTCACAAAAATTGGGTCATAAAAGCCATGATTTAGTTAAATATAACTGTTAGAGACATTAGCAAAAGCAATTTAAATTCCATTGCTAAAGGATTTTTTTCACCATGGTTCGTCACCTGAATCACCAAACACAGGAAATTACCTGAGTGACTGTTTTCTCAGTTTGTTCCAGGATTGCTTTATAGCTAATACCATTCTAGGTGCATAGGAAAGAAGTTAATTCATTATAAATGGTGTATGCCATTAGGACTTAATTCTCTTGTGTCCTGTTTGAAAAGACTGCAAGAGTGTTGAGGACTCATTAATGCTAATAAAATATTCATGGTATTGACTACACAAGGAAATTAGACATGAGTGGTCATGTAGCTAAATACAGGGCATTTCAAATTTAGGTGATGGACTCGTTAAACCTCTAGAAAGATCATGAGAAAAGGAAGGACTATGGAGTAGGGAGTCAGTAGAACAGAGGGGTTCAAAAACCTCTTCACATTGATTATTTTTAAGATAGTGTAAATATATTGTCATAACAACGTTGATCCTTTTCTAAACAAGTTAAACTGAGTACTAAATGCAAATGTGAAATGTGCATTGCTGTCTTTACAAGAGCATTTTCTTTTTAATTTGTTGCTGTTTTGGTGCTGCAGAGTAAAGGAGTTTGGAATTAGTCCATCAGACATTCCCTTCTCACAGGGTAGTGGCAGTCGCCCTGATCTCTCTCCTTCTTATGAATATGACGACTTTTCTCCTTCAATTACCAGGTCTACTTCATTCTATACATAAGATGTTTATTTTAATAGTTTCTTTTGGATTGTGCTATGTATACATGTTTTATAGCATTTACTTTCATAGCATATACTTTTGTCCTGAGCCATTTTATTTTTCATTTTCATTTGGCAGGTGGTGGTTATACTGCATGATCTTCATTTTTATGTACTTTATTAATTTGCTTTAAAATGTTGATTTAGAATTCAGGCTTCCTTTTCCCCTCTCATCTTTTTAAGGATGATGTCATCTTTGCATATTTACCATTGAAGGATAAACTGTCTTATTTAAAACGAACAGTTTACATTCTTTCTGTCTGCAAGGAAATCACAAGGCTCCTCTTGACTTAAAAAGTGTACCCTCTCCCAAATATGTAAATTGAAGTTTAAGGGGTAAACTTTTTTTAATGATAGAACTTTACAGCTTATAATCTTTATAGATTAGAAATATTTCACATGTAGCTATTTTAATTGAGCCTTCTAACTACCAAATCTGCAAAGTGTATTAAATTCTTTGATTTTGGGGGACTTCCCTGGTGGTCCACTGGTTAAGACTCCACGCTTCCACTGCAGGGTGCGCAGGTTCGATCCCTGGTCTGGGAACTGAGATCCCGTGTGACACACGGTGCAGCCAAAACAAAAAAACAAAAAAAACCCTGATTTTTGACTGTGATTCATTTATTGATCTAAGTGCCATTGTTAGCATTTTTCTATTCAGCAATTTAGTTGCAACAAGTGTCTTATTTATTTTGAAATACTGAATCTGCATACTTTGTTGATTCTCAATTTGTTATGCACAGTAATTATGTTTGAAGTAATTGTAAAGTTATATACCTAAGTAAATTCCTAAAGCTTCACAGCTAAACATACCTTTAGTATTTCCACAGATTTCAGTTAGATTTGATCTGGAAAGCTGACATCATCAATATTAATATGTTTATTGAATTGCTTTTATATTAAATAGGTTGATATTTCTTGTTCCTCTGCATGAATCTTTGTTAATTATAGATACCTCTTATGTGTTTATAGGGTGAAAGAATTGACTGTGGATCCAACTGCCGCTGGTGATGTCCGTCCAATAATGCACCATCCACCAAATCAGATTGATGATTTAGAGGCACAGTGGGGTGTGGGGAGTTCCCCTCAGAGGGATGATCTAAAACTTCTTTGTGAACAAAATGTAAGTGACATAATATAGTTGTAATTATCTAATCTTAGTCATTTCATCCATAGCAGAATAAGTGAAAACTATCATCTAAATCAGGGATCAGCAAATTACAGCCTATGGGCCTGCCATCTGTTTTTACAAATAAAGTTTTGTTGAAACATGGCCCTGCTCATTAAGACCAGAGGTGACAAAGATTGTATGGCTCACAACCCCAAAATATGTACTAAAGTTCACTGACCCCTGATCTAGCTATTCTTTTTTCCAGATTTTATACTGATGTTAAAATTGGGGATTTTTAAAGTAATACAGGGAAAAAACAAGTTTAAGAATTGTACATGCAATATATCACATATATAAAGCTTAGAAACAAGATTATGGACACATGCACATGCATTAAAGGATTCATGAACTGTATCAAAAATGGAAAAAATCTGACATTTGTTAAATCTGGTTGCTTTCTGTATTTTTGAATGTTTGGTGACATTTCATAAATTTAAAATTTTGATTCCCGTGTTACTTAAAAATAATAATATGTGCCCACTGCATAAGGACAGTGAGGTATAAAGAAAGAACAAAAAAGCACAAACACATTTTCACATAGTTATTTAACTTCATTTTTTAAATGTATAATCTATATAGTTTTGTATCATCCTTTTCCCACTAAGAATCCTATAGTGGCATTTTCTTATAATGATAAAGGTAGCATTTATTAGTTGCTTACTTCATGACATATATTTGCTAGGCATCTTATGATCTGGTATAGTCCTCACTATTCAGTGTGGTAGGTACTATAATTATCCCTGTTTTTAACTTGACTAAGATCATATAAGTAGTAAGTACTGAAGCCCAGCAGGATTGAAATCTGGGTCTTTCTTATACCAGAGTGAAATCTTAGGTCAGCTAAATTGATTGCTTGCTGCAATAAGATATTCTTTGGAAACAGTATAACTTAAGTTAATGTTTTTATACTTTCCAGCAGGTATTTTAAAGTCCAAAATATTCTAGAGTAAACAATCGGATATCCTACTTTTTGTTATCATGTTTCAAAATACTCTACAAAGTAGGCCTCAATGCAGCAGTTCTCAACCAAGAGTGACTTGGCCCCTCTCCAGGGAAAAATGTATGGAGACATTTTTGGTCGTCACAGGTGGGATGGTGTTGCTAACATCCAGTGGGATGAGGCCAGGGATGATACTAAACATCATACAATGCACAGGGACAACAGCCTTCCTCCTTCCCCCCAAAATGTCTATAGTGTCGAAGTTAAGAAACCTGGTTTAAAATAAGAGTTCTGGGCTTCCCTGGTAGTGCAGTGGTTGAGAGTCTGCCTGCCGATGCAGGGGACACGGGTTCATGCCCCGGTCCGGGAAGATCCCACATGCTGTGGAGCGGCTGGGCCCATGAGCCATGGCCGCTGAGCCTGCGTGACCGGAGCCTGTGCTCCGCAACAGGAGAGGCCACAACAGTGAGAGGCCAGCGTACCGCAAAAACTAAAATGAAATAAAATTTAAAAAAAAATAAAATAAAATAAGAGTTCTGAACTTTGAACCATAGAGGATAAAGACCTAAAAATGAAACCCTGGTGTTAGTCTATCCCCTGTCCCCAAAACATTTGAAAGAGACTGCAGTTGCTTTGTAAATCCTTAAAGCAAAAAAAAAAAAAAAAAAAATTCCTTAAAGCAAACCCTGCATTGCTCCTAGATACAGTGCCTACAGAGATATGGAAAACCAGAACAGGATAGGCACTCCCTATAGCAGATCTCTCACATTTTATTCTTGCATCTATTGGGTCTTTGCAGGACCTTAATTTGGAGAGGTTGGCTAGGTGACCAGAACTAATCCAGAGGCTTTAAGCATGACATCATGGGTTCTTGCAACCTCCCTTATAGAGTATGGATTTCTTTCAACTTTGCCTTCCCCAAGGAACTGTCTTGAGATGGTTCAGCATTAGCCTTTAGTTAAGTATTGGTGCATGTGTACATATTCTTATTGCTATATTAAATTTTAACAAGGTAGATTAAAATGGGATAGTGTCCAGGACATGCCTTGGAGATAAAGTAATATAGGAAGACAAACTAGAGGATAATCAAGTGCATTAGAATTCCATAAGTAGTTGTATAGACAAAAAGTATTCTGAGTGGGCTGCATGGAAGTGATAGGAGTTTGCATAATATCTTGAAGCAGAGAAAAGACAGGACATTCTTGGCTTGGCAGGGAAGTGGGCAGATAAAATGAGTAAAGGTGGTTGACTGTGTGTTTACCAGAAGGACAGAGAATATGAGAGAATCATGCCTGCATGTCTTGATTAAAAGCAGATGGCTCTTTTCCCAAAGAGAAAATAAAAAATTCTTTAGCCAATTTGATTATATAAACTTTTAGGGATGGCAGCTTATTGATGAAAGAGTCAAATAAGTCAAAGTCTACTTATAGTATTTAATTTAATGAAAATACACACATATATTTAGAATTGTGTATTTTATTTGAAAAATGTTGCTTTTCCTACTGACATTTTATAAAACAAGTTTAAGGGTACTTCTCAATCACTACAGCCACGTTTTGAGGAAATAAATCATTAGATGTTAGAGTTGGGAAGGAAGCTGAAAAAAGAAAGCAAGGCCAGAGAAGTTTGACTTGATGTAGGACCAAAATATGTTGCATATACATATGTGAGTTTTTGTTGATAAAGTTGTGAATTGTCCATTAAAATTTCTGTAAAAACCAGTAAGTAAATTGTAGAATGCAATTCAGAAATTAAAATTTAGTTAAGAGTTGAATCCTTCAGAATACCAATTTGATAGTCACAGTCATGAAAGATACTATGTTTACGTCTCTCTTCTAGTGAAAAGAAATTTAAGACATATATGTGAATTAAATTGTTAGGGAAAGTAAACACTGAGGAAATATTTCAGTATATTTCTAGCCTGTGATAAATGTATTTTTGAAAAGTTGCACTCCAAAAGAGATTGCTTTTTTACAGTAATTCTGCAGTAAAGCTTGGGATAAGTGAAAACTGTTTCTTACTGATGTGTTTAAGTTTGTCTTACTGAGTGTTATGTTAAATATTTTTGACCCATAAAAAGAAATTGTGGCTTTGCCTTTCATGTTTTGTTTTAGTTGTCTTTAACATTCAAGCATCCTCAATTTCTAAGTTGCATTTTCGTAGATGACACAGAAAAACTACTTTTTTATTATAACATTTAAAATATAAACTTATGTCATAATTTTTGAACTATTTTTATTTTAAGGAAGAAGAGGTTTCTCCACAATTGTTTACTTTCCACGAAGCTGTCTCACAAATGGTAGAAATGGAAGAACAAGTTGTAGAAGATCACAGGGCAGTCTTCCAGGTAAAGTAAGACAACATTTAATCAAATGTTTCTCTAGAAAAACTAACTACCAACTTTTGTAATTCTTTGAGTATCACACTATTCTAAAAATAATACTTGTTTATGTGTAAGTATATGTGTATTTGTAGGGCATATGACACATTAAATTTTGAATAGAATGAATGATCACTACAAACAAACTTTCTTTGCAGGTGTGATGGAAAGATCTAGTTTATTTCTTCTGTTCTCCCACTTCATTTGCTTTTGTCAGTTGTCTGTTTATAGAGGAGCTGAACTTCTACCCTCCACTACCCCTTTCTTCATGGTAGGCCAGTTTGTTTGACAGCAGTAGGAAAAACTCTTTTAAGGGTATCAGAACAATTGAGGAAGGGTCAATCTTTGTAGGAAAAGAGGAGTATTTCAGGAGAGTTACTGTACTGACTGAGCTGTCAGTGGCAGATGACTGAGGGGTATTATATCCCTTCCTATAGCAGTAACTCCTTAGGTATTTATCCCATTGTGTGTTAAACCTATTTTAAAAAACCTTTTACCATACGATCCTCCCCTCTCCCTTTTTATAAACAAGGAAATATTCTGGGGACTTCCCTGGTGGCGCAGTGGTTAAGAAAATGCCTGCCAATGCAGGGGACACGGGTTTGAGCCCTGTCTGGGAAGATCCCACATGCTGTGGAGCAACTAAGCCCATGCGCCACAACTAATGAGCCTGCGCTCTAGAGCCTGTGAGCCACAACTACTGAGCCCACGTGCCACAGCTACTGAGCCTGCACAAATAGAACCCATGCTACCCAACAAGAGAAGCCACTGCAATGAGAAGCCCACGCACTGCAACAAAGAGTAGCCCCTGCTCACCCACGCGTGCAGCAACGAACACCCAACACAGCCAAAAATTAAAATAAAATAAATTTATTTTTTTAAAAAAGGAAATATTCTGGAGGGTGATACCTTTGAGGAAGTGAAGATAATTTTGAACATCTTTATGGAGACCGTACAGTCAGGTTGCCCCCCACCCCCTTCCCACAGTATATAAATCCATCATCCTATTAACCTATATTCCTTCTCTGATGTTGAAGAAATCTTCATTTATCTGTAAACAGACATTAACATTCCTCAGCTCTAGCCATTCAAGCACTTGGTTGAAGGTCTCAAAAACATAAGAGAACTGTTTATAACTTCAGAATAGCGTATACACTGATTAAAACTGTTACAGTTTTAGTCAAATCCATATTATGGGAATCTCTTCAGAGGCCTGGGTATTTAGATTAAATCAAAAAAGGACACTTGTAATTTAAGAAAATTGTTAGAACAATATGGACACCCATAAAAGTCAGGTGAGGCTTTCAAACTCAAATTTATACTTGATGTGTCAGAACTAAATTGGTACATTTATAGAACAGTTGTGTGTGCAGCACAATTGAATTGTCTTGGAATCCAGCAGTAGACTTGTGAATGCCTTGTTAGAATGAGGTATGGCACCACAACTACTGAGCCTGTGTGCTGCAACTACTGAATCCCGCGCACCTAGAGCCCATGCTCTAAAACAAGAGAAGCCACCGCAATGAGAAGCCTGGGCACTGCAACGAAGAGTAGCCCCCGCTCCTCGCAACTAGAGAAAACCCGCACACAACAACGAAGACCCAACGTAGCCAAACATAATTAATTATTTTTTAAAAAAAGGAATGGTTTCCTTGAAGCATTTATGAATAGTAGTAAGTAGCTACTGTTTAGTGGTTCATTTGACTCTTCTAAAATGAGCTATCCTGGGAATTCCCTGGCAGTCCAGTGGTTAGGACTCTGCGCTTTCACTGTGGAGGGCGTGGGTTCAATACCTGGTCAGGGAGCTGAGATTCTGCAAGCCACACGGTGCGGCCAAAAAAAAGGGCTATCCAGTGTTCCCTTACAGTCGACAATATTGAAGAGCTAGTGTGTAGAATTTAGGATTACCTCTTGGCTCAACCACTGTGAGGCCCCAAATAGATATGTTAATTCCAGATGATTTACAAGTTCTGGGCTCCCATAGGCCTCATCAGATTGATCAGTAACTTTATTATTACACCCGTTGTCTCTCTGTTTTAGGGACAGCTGTTGAAGTTTGAGATTTACTATGCTCATTGATGTGTGTGTGTGTGTGTGTGTGTGTGTGATTCATTCCCTCCCCCAAACCCCACTCAAAGTAGAGTAATAATAGGAAAATGAAGTCATCTTACTTGGCCTGTCACAGTGGTGTTTGTGTTCAAATTTAAGGAAATATTTCTTAATTTTACTCTATAATAAAGATGTTTTATGGTTATTAATATTTTAGAGAATACCATCTTGAGTATGTTTGATTAACATGAAATTTATTAATTGGTTTCTGTCTTATATATAGGCTCATTGGATTATTGATTTTTTTTTTCTTGGTCATTTCAGGAATCTATTCGATGGTTAGAAGATGAAAAGGCTCTCCTAGAGATGACTGAAGAAGTAGACTATGATGTAGATTCATATGCTACACAACTTGAAGCTATTCTTGAGCAAAAAATAGACATTTTAACTGAGCTGCGGGGTAATTCTTTTTTCATTTTAGTGTTTGAAATCTGCCTAATATTTGTATGTAATTAGTGGGAGGATTTCATATTGTAAGAAGATATCTGAAGTGAAAATTATGGGTACATTTAACATCTTTCTAGAGGTATTGAAGACCAACGAACCATTCTGATTTTTCTAAAAATGAAACATGAAAAATCATTTCAAGTGCTCTCTAGTCATCTTTTTCTTAGTCTTTGGAGAAGGTAAAAAGACATCTTATGATTAAAGAGGGACAATATATTTTAACAAGTTTATAAATTTTGTATACCCATTCAGAGTTTTAGTTTGGTGGGCCGATGCTTTTCAGAATTATTTTCCTTGGTTTAGGTCTATTACGGGTCATCTTTCTATAGCCTCCTATGTGCATCTCCTTTCTGTGCATATTGTCATGTTTTTCCTTTGAACACTTGTTTTAAAAAATGAAGGGGAAGGTTTCAAAACAACCCTTTCTACTTTGCTTATGAAGGGAGGCATGTGGTTTACCTACATGCCATGGCTTCTTTCTTGGCTTTTTAATTAGCTTATCTCTGCAGCTTCAGATAAGCGTGTATTGTATGTGCTTTCTTAGGCTTTGGCAAATTAGCTATCTTCATTTATATGCAAGTAGGTTTCTTTGTGTGTGCATGCAATGCAACATGAAACCAGACTGAAGTTGCTAGTTTTTAGCATCAAACAAGCTGCTTCAAATTTTTTAAACAAGGTTCTTTGTAAAGTTGGTTATTTGAAATCATCTCTTATAGAGTCAGCAGTGACCATTTTGCCAATTTAGAATTGTTTGTGCAGATGTAAGGTTTCTAAAACTTGATGTTTTTCATGTTCTTCATATTCAAGCCTTGATTTAAAGTGTTTTGATCATTTTTCTAATCTGTCATAATACACAAGCAGCTTTTTCAGTATGCATTTTATTCAGAAGACAGATCACAATGCATCCTAATTTTTTTTCTTTGTAAGATGTAGCTTTCAACTTAGTTCCTTTCCTTAATTTTCTCAGGATTCATGTATAAGCAAGCATATCCAAACTTTGAAGAAATTACTACCTAGATATTATATTATTCAGTCCTTCCTTAGAAAAAAATTTTTTTTTACCATCCAGAGATAATTTTGTTATTAACATAAGAAGTTTGAGAGCTATTATCTTGTATTACCAGGCATCAAATCCAGAAGTCCTTAAATTCCTTTCTTCTTCTTATTTTTGGCTGTGCTGGGTCTTCATTGCGGCACGTGGGCTTCTCTCTAGTTGCAGTGCAGGCTTAGTTGCCCTATGGCATGTGGGATCTTAGTTCCCCAACCAGAGATCTAACCCATGTCCCCTGCATTGGAAGCCAGATTCTTAGCCACTGGACCACTGGGGAAGTCCCCTTAAATTCCTTTCTAAATTTCAGAGAAGTCAACTTTTTCAACATCGTTTTACTTAGGAAGAGGGGAAAGAAATTGAGATACCAACTTTATATCTCTCCTTTTTTCTGAAAGCCATAATCTTTGCACATTTTAAGTTGGGAGACTGTTGGAAGGTGCTGTCTCTTGTGCATTGTGCGATGCTTACAAATATCCCTGGTCTCTACTAACTAGATGACAGTAGTACCACCCCAATGTGACAATCAAAAATGTCTGTAGATGTTACCCAATGTCCCCGGGAGGGGAGCGAAAATCACTCCCAAATTGAGAACCACTGTTACAGAAAGATTGCTCATGTTCACACAGCTATTATTTGCTTCCTCCAATTTTTACTTACGTATTTCTTACTCTTAAGTGACTGAATCAGTACACGAGAGACAGTAGGACAGAATTGTAAGGCCAAGAAATGTATGTCCTGTAATTTCCCTTCCCCATCATGCCCTTTTGCAATCCCTGATAAGGAAAAAATGACATGTCTTCTTAAAAACTCAAATAATCTTAAAATTTCATAGCTTAAAAAGGTAAAATAGGAATTGGGAGTAGACGTTTTCTAATATTGAGAGAAGAAATGTCTACTTTACACACATATATAGCCTCTTTACACTGCAAAAAGGAATTCAAATAAATTAAAATTGAATGCTGTAAAATGTGCCAAATAGAACAGAAATCTGTTGGAGATAACAAAAAAAAACCCCACAAGTATTTCCAGGAATCTAATGAGCCTGTTGCTATAGTTGAGCACTGTTCTGAGTTTCTGGCCAGAAAGAAGGAAAAATCCTGAGTTAATAAGAGAGCTGACTTGATAGGACCCATAAAGTTGTATGCTGCATTGCATGTAATGCAAAACTTATTCCCTTGTTCTTTTCTTTTTCCAAGATAAAGTGAAATCTTTTCGTGCAGCTCTACAAGAGGAAGAACAGGCCAGCAAGCAAATCAACCCGAAGAGACCCCGTGCCCTTTAAATCAGCATTTGCTGCTAAAGGATTCCCAGAACCCTCGCTACTGTAACATACAATGGTTCAGCTGTAAGGGCCATTCGAAAGTTTGAAATTTTTAAGTGTCTGTGGAAAATGTCTTGTCCCTTCAACCTGAATGACATTTCAATTTTGTGAAACACTCCTTTGTCTACAAGATGCTTCTAGTCCAGGAGGCACAACCAAGGTTTGGGAATAGTGAAGCATTTTGTTTCATTTACCCACATAGTGATTTACTTTTGAAGATCCTTGCCAATTTTATTTTCTGTATGATGAAGTAAGATTGTGGACTTGATCCAGAGGCGAATAGTAGGGGGAAGCCACAGCATTTCCTTTTAACTCAGTTCAATTTTCATAGCAAGACTGAGCAGTTTTAAATCCTTTGCGTGCATGCATACCTCATCAGTGATTGTACATACCTTGCCCACTTCTAGAAACAGCTGTGCTCACCTCTTCCTGCTTTGTGCCTTGACTAAGGCTACTGACCCTAAATTTCTGAAGCACAGCCAAGATAAATTACATTCCTTATTTGTCATTGTAAATTACCTTTATTGTGTGTACATTTTTACTGTAATTGAGACATTTTTTGTGTGTGACAAGATTTGCAGGATGTGCCATATCAATGAATGGAACTAAAGTCTGTGACAGTGGACATAGCTGCTGGACCATTCCATCTTATATGTAAAAAAATCTGGAATTATGATTTTAAAACCATATAACATGTGGTTATAATTTTCTTAGCATTTTCTTTGTAAAGAACTAAAATATAAACTAGTTGGTGTATAATAAAAAGTAATGAAATTCTGAAAAGAGTTTTATCTTAGGATAATACATATATATGCAGTGTGTGTTCCAGTGTGGTATTAACAAGACTAATAGTGCAATTTGATCTTTACCAATACCATTACTTAAGTTGAAGTGTCCATTAGCACCCCAAAATGAACCTTTTAAATGGTACTGTTAAAGGAAACTGGCTTCTGATGCATGAATATGTACATGTACATTGAAAGTAGTCCATAATAGAACTGTTAGTTTAAGCCAAGTATAGACAGTACGTAACTCTCTTGAAAAAGAATTTAAGCTAAGAAAGAGATGACTTTGCCTTGAAAGGCAGATCTGACCCAAGCTCCACCCATTACCTAATGTATGATGTTTCACCATTATTTGATGAGAATCACTAAATTCTCACCAGTCAGTTCATCTAGGGCATGCTGCTTTTTAAATGGTGGCACTTATTTTTACACATTGCTATTCCAAGGAAGAAAACTGGCCACTTTTCATGTAAATATTTTGTTAGAAGATTTATATATCTCTCTAGGAGTTTTCCCTCAGTTCCCAGGATAGTGTCTAGGAGTATGTTAACAACAAAAAAGTCTCCCAAGGGTGTCTTGTTTTGATTTACTCTAGGGAACTACCAGCTCATTCATATGGGCTAATGGGAAGCTATGAATAGAGTCACATGAGCCAGATTCCCTACTTCACTGTCCACAGAACTCAGAAGGTCGCTGTGGGAAATCCTAACACCATGGTGAAAAGCTCCTCTGTAAACCTGAAATCTAGAACAAGTGTAGATTTTCACAGTGTGCTTATTATTAAATCTATGGAATGATCTTCAAAGGACATAGAGATATGTGAATTTACTCATTTTAAAGCACAACAAATAAGTCTTAATTTATTATTTAAATTAGAAGGGTACTATCTCTGGAAGGTCTCCTCAATTTGAAATGTACTGCCTTATACTATAATGGCTTCATTCTGATTAGTATTCAAGGTATATTAAAAATCAGTACCAGAAAAGATCTTGGTAGTATAATCCATTCCCTCAGTTTTACAGATAGGGAAATCTGAAGGTTATAAAAGGGACTGAAACTCAGCAGTCCATAGGAGGACAGGGAAATAAGAGGGAAAGCTGAATTAAATCTTAAATTTAAATTTTCCTTTAAGGATAGAGATGGTATAAGTGAACTTTGCTAATTAAGTAGTTTTGTGAGATTAAAAAAACCTACTCTTAATTATGTAGTATTTATGTAACAAAAGTGGCTTTGTGCAGTTATTATTTAAAGAATAACTTAAATTTTTTGGATCTGGATTAAACATTCTTTACTTTCTCAGACTTGAAAGCTGATATCCCTATTAATAATTAACTAAAAATATACATTATTTTAGTTATATAGGAATGTTTTAATATATCACTTTGAAGCCAGATTTCTAAAAAATCTGTTTATGCAAACAACCTATCTTTTCCTTCTAGGTTCACTCAGTGTACCTCTGTTAAAATTTGGATTTTAACTGTAAAGCCAGTGTTGATTTATAAAACCCATTGAAATTTTAAATCTATGACTATCTCCCCAAGAAAAAACATACAATCTTATAGTTCATTTCATTCTAGTCGAGCATCCTCATTTACAAGTAAGGAATGCCCAGAAGTAATATGCCTGGCACCATGTGGTGGCAGTAGCAGACTCAGGCTTACCTAGAACCCTAGCCTATTATGCTGCAGGATTGCTAAAGGGGTAGGCAGTGATAGAAATTATATAGGATAAACAGAGAAACAATGAGAGAAGCAAAATAACATTTTAGGAAACAAGGAAACAATTGCTTTACTGTACACATGAATAACAAGAAGAAATGGTATGGGGAATATGTAACTAAATTAAGCATATTTTAACTTTCTTATGACTTGAAGAACCAAGGCCTAAAGAGCTAAAATCCTAAAAAAAGGTTCTCACAGTAATATATAACATAGAAAATATTAGTGTAACATCTTTATATAATACACTGTTAGAAATAACTTTTAAGTGTAAAGCTGTGCGTGTCTGCGGCTCTTAAACTTGAAGAGTATCACGTATAAATTGGACCCTGCCCTATGCTGTATATTAAAATCAAACCAAAACCAAAAAAAAAAAAACCTGTATAGTTAGAATTGACTTACTTCCTTAAAAATTCAGAGTAATAAATGGTGACAATAATAGTAAATCAAAAATAGTCAAGCACATAGTGTCCAAGCATAGTTCATCTTCTCAAATTATTAAGAATATATAATTCTACTTTGTTGAGTTTGGAAACTTCTCTTCTGCAGATACCTAAGAAAAATGGATACCTTCTGCATTGAATCCATGTAGCAATCTGAAAAAAGAAACCAAAATGGGATGGTATTGAAATGCTAGTTTGTAGCAAGTAACAGTGCATACATAGTCCCTATACCATGAATTCTAAAACACAAATACATCAGCAAACCTGTGAAGCCCACCCACTCCTAACACTAGTCATTAAAGAAACTTTATTCTTCAACTAAATTTATGAGATTTATATTGGTTAAAACCACATCATTTTGGTGCCTCTTCTGTCATAGCCTGTATGTCTTAAGGCATGATGAATTTAAAATGATCTTAGACCTACACTATCCCTGGCCTAAGAGGACACTGGCCCTTGTTCCATTTCAACCTGGTAGTGAATGTGAAGCTGTTTGGAATTAGAGGCAGGAGAGAGATGAATGGCTAATCTCACGTGTCCATTCTTCCTCTCTGAGTCCACTGTTACTGAGTTTCAGATTAAACACTGCTTCTCTCTGGATACCTGTGTACTTATTAGATCCTAGTTAGCAAACTGCATGTTTAGTAACCTTGAAGACTAATAAGAATGAAGGAAAATAAGATGAAATATTTCTACTTAGACCTGCCTGAGATTATTTTCAGAATGGCCCATAAGAACCATCGAGATGGGTTAAGATATCTGAAAAAGGAAGATGGGTGCTTATGAATAATGTTCAACTCCTAGGATTAACATCTAATAAAGACTCAGTAGTACTGCTAGCCTGCCAATAAAATATAGGCGCCATTTGTCTCAATTACATACAACTGTGTTTCTAGCATAGAAAAGTCAAACCAATGACTTTTATAACAATCTACCCTCTTTTTTTATCAGCCTCTAGACCATGGAAGCTTTAAAAATGAATTGGATAAACAGGAAAAAAATTATGGTTTATTAGTTAGGAAATCAGAGTGTTAGTGATTAAAAACAATGAATACAGGTTAATAATTACCTGGGTAATTTGACGCCTTACTCTGCTTTGCTAAGACTTCCTTGCTTAATCCAAGGAAAACAAATTTCGGTCTATATTGCCCAGTTAATTATGACACCCTTCTTTTGCTTCAGGTGTGTGGAACTTGCCTCAGTCCACAAAATAAGTTACTGAACCAGTTGGAAATGATAACCAGATATGATTGTAACTAATATTTCATATTTAAAAGCTATTCTCAATAAAGAAAAAAGACCCAACTATATATATTATGATTCTTTTACCTTACAGGCTACTTTGAAGAGACAAACTGTTAAGACTAACTGTGAATGGGAGTTGGGGGAGGGGGCTAGAGGGGAGGAGCATGCACACCACCACACACATTGCCACAGAGGTTATCTCCAGGCTCAGACTGTTCTCCACCACTGTTCTTACAGAAAGTGTTCATTCTGCTGCAGCTAACTAGCCTCCGTCTTCTACACCAAATACTATTCCATACCATGGAAGTGCTATGCAATAACTCCCAGGTAGCACCTTATACCATTTAAAAGCCTTTAAATTTCTAAATCTGAAGGTGTCACAGTAAAGATATGTAAAAATGTAGGAAAAGGAAAATGTAGTTACCTAATGAAATCATCTATGTCCATGGAACGGGCCCGCTTGTCACTAAAACCTGTGCTGGTTAGGATTTGCTGTATTTTATCTGCTATGCTGAAATCTTCTGGTATTATCTATCAATATAAGATTCAGAATAAATGAACAACATATCTTTAATGAAGTCACTTTGACTCTTTTTTTTACTTCAGTAAGTCATAAACAGTCACCTTATCTGTTCATGATAGTTTTGGAAAGCCTGTTTGTGCAGATTAAGACTTGGATCTCTCGTTAGTTAAGTGGTTGATTTTTTAGCATATACCAAATACACAGAAGACCTTGAATGAATTAAATCATGTATATTGCCCTTTTTCTTCTTAGAAATTCTGAAAGTTGTTTCAGGCATCACAAAGTACTTCATAACACATAAAATAATTAAAGCTATAAAATAAATTTTACAGCAATTGTTACTTCTTTAAAAGTAACATATTCTTGGTACAAATTTCATTTTACCAGCTAATTAAGTTTTCCTCATAGATGGCCTCTCCAACCCTTGAAAATATTTCATACTTTATATTTTTCATCTAAAAACTTGTCTTAATCCAGCACAATATTTCCTATGTAGGTAGATGTACAATGACTTTATTCATAAAATGGAGGTAGCAATGTGGTACATTAAACCATGTAAGATCTGAGTAAAAAAATACAAAAGAAATTTGCTTTTATCTGTCCGCTCCGTTTAATTAGCTTGAAAGAACTAAAAAGTTATTAAACATCACAGTCATTATATATATGGATATGTCTGTGTGCTCACACACACAACTAGTTAAAGAAAATGTTGCACAGATAATATAATACAGAGACATGAGGTTCACAACCAGAAATCTGCTATTTATCTACTTTGTTCTAATTATTTCAATTTCTGGGTATTAAAAAAAAGTCACTGAGAAAATAGTAACTTTAAATTTGTAATTGCTACATAAGCAACAAGCAAGAAGGGACGGCCACAATTCAAAGGCTAGCAAATGGTACACAATTATTTTACGCTGAGTAAATTACACAAGCTTAAAACTTTGAGAAAATTGATTCAACTGAATCTTTTTATGGCAAAAAAAAAAAAAACTCAGTAAAAGAGGATGGAGTGGAGTATTCAAGGGTGTTCAGATATGTTCTGCAAAATACATAGCAGCACTGACCTGTTAGAATTCAAGTTCTAGTGCTAGTTAGACATGACATACAGTCTTAAGGATCCTATGGAATGTTCAAAATTAAGAATCTTGTAATGATATGTGAAACAGAATAGGAAATAGAGGGACATTTTAAAACACAACAAATTATTGAAACAACAGAAACATTTTCTGCTTACGATATTATGGACCGAACAGTGAATTCTGTAGTTTTTTTCCAGTAGCTGTTGCACTGCACTTGACCTGTATTACATAAAGACATGATATCACTATTATTCCCAAATCAGATTATAAATAATTTCCTTTAAGTTTATTATAAGATTAAATCTACGTTCCATATGGCGAAATTAAGGAACTAAAAAAGGTGTTGAATATTTAAACTTCTGAAATAATCGGCAACTACTAATATTTAAAAAGTAAGTCCTGATAAACATCTCTCACATTCTTAAAGAAGTTCTAGACTCCACAAAACATCATCTACAAACATTTTTTTTTTCATTGTGGCTTTCACCTTTCTTTTGACCTTGGGCCCCAAATTGCTGTTATATTTTTCCAAGTTAAAATGCCATAAATCTTTTAAAAATGTGGAAGGGGTCCATCATCACCTCATCTTTCCAAGGAAAAACTAGGCAGGATGTGTGGTCAGTTTTTGGTTATTTCCCATTTTGCAAACAAAACCTGATCTAATTCCCAAGTCCAGGAACTTTTCTTCATTAAGTTCTCCTGCCTCACAAAGTACAAAATTAAAAAGATAGGGCTTCCCTGGTGGCGCAGTGGTTGAGAGTCTGCCTGCCGATGCAGGGGACACGGGTTCGTGCCCGGTCTGGGAAGATCCCACATGCTGCGGAGCGGCTGGGCCCATGAGCCATGGCCGCTGAGCCTGCACGTCTGGAGCCTGTGCTCCACAACGGGAGAGGCCACAACAGTGAGAGGCCTGTGTACCGCAAAAAAAAAAAAATTAAAAAGATAAAAATGTGTCTGGACATGGATCATGTTTATGCTTTAGGGTATCTGTTCAGGAAAAAGGACCAAATTCTAGCACTTAGCACAGTATCTGAAGCACTGATCCCTCATATATCATAAAATTAGTAAAATACTTACTTAAATGCAGCAGACAGTGTCTTGTTTTTCCTAACAAAGGTGATCCTTACTAGGCCATCCCATTCCTGAAACAGTAGATGGATATTTTCTTACAGAATATTAAACCTGCCTATACCTACTAGGTATTATTTTGTGTTAATATATAAAAATGAAAGGAGTGATGGAGTGATGAAAATGTTCTATATCTGGAGTGATGAAAATGTTCTATATCTTGATCTGACTGGCATACATATGCAAAAGTAAGATGCATACTTGATTTTCACACTTCTGTGCACCTCATTGAATATTTTACCCTCAATTTTAAAGATAGAAGAAAAATACCTATTTGCTTCACATCTGAACAAAGAACATGGCATTTATTTAAATCGAAGTATCATTTTCAAAAAACTCAAAACAGACATGATTTAGAATATAGCCTGTACAATACACCTAAGTAAACCTTGCAGGAATAACTTACAACCACTCCACTGCCACCAGTTACTGACCACATAAGCAATCACGTTTTTATCCCATGTGATTGCAGTAAGGTTTTACATCACGTCATCTGGCTTTCTTCTCTTTTTAAATGGTAGAAATTAGAATTTTGATTAAAAAGTGTTACTCATACTATTTAACACAACTATTTTCATTTTATCTTGTTTCCTATGTCTTATTCAAATAGATACATGTTTTCCATAGCTATAATCTTCAGCAAATTGCAGTGGCATTCTAATCTTTTTACCTTTTGCAAACATTTTCCATGCTCTTGAGGTCCTCAACAACTATCTTGTGTCAAATAATTCCATCTACTCCATCACAGGGATGTATCATAATTAACATTCTCCTGTTTAGACATTTAGGTTGACTCATTACCTTTCTGCTGCTACAGACACACATCTTCCAGGTTGGACTTTTTTTTCCCTTTACTGAATGACCTAGTTATTTTAACCTCACCTGAAAATTGATAGGTGGTGGTGGATTCTTGGGTTCTATCCTTACGACACTGGATTCCACCTTGGGTGGTGGTCTGAAGTTATTCTTTCCAACCTATTAATCAGAAAATGTTTAAGGAGTCCTCTCAAAAACAACTTTAAACAGTAATCAAATATGCTTTCCTCCCAGAAGGCACAGCTAGATGCTCAAGGATGAGTTAAACCACACTATTTCAACAACAGTCACGTACTTTCATTAGATGGTCCACACGTGCTAATAGCTGTGTATTAATTGACAGTCTGCAGTATAACTTATCTCCAGGTTTTGCAACCAGTCGGAGAGCAAATTCTCTTTGAAACATAAGTACAGCACATCTGAAAAGACAGCAGAAAGGAATAAGGAACAAGGTCATTTTCAACTATAAATGTATTTTAACTGCAATGACTTTTCTTAAGTGGGAAATAGAGCAAAGCAATATCTGGGGTTAATAATTAGTCCAGCTGGCCAGAAGGGAGGAGAACACTTTCAACCTGAGCTTTATTACCACAAAATGATCCAGCTGCCTTTGCTTTTCATTGTGCAATGGCTGTAGCTCCAACCCCTTGCAAATGTAAGCCCTCAATGATCAGATGAGAAAGTATTTCAGATCAGCACTAGTCCATAAGCCCCTCTAGGAAAACAAAACCCAGGGACTTCCCTAGTGGTCCAGTGGTTAAGCATCTGCCTTCCAATGCAGGGGACACAGGTTCAATCCCTGGCTGGGGAACTAAGATCCCACTATGCCACAGGGCCAACACTACTAAGCCTGCACACTCTGGTGTCCAGGTGCCACAACGAAAGATCCCATGTGCCTCAACTAGGACCCGACACAGCCAAATAAATAAATATTTTAAAAAACAAAACAAAACCCAAACGAACAAAATTGGTTCAGTAGCCGAACTGTATTCATGGGGTGGTAAACATCCCTGTGAAAGAGCTGAGGCAGACTGTGACATCAGTGTCCTTCTGATTTAACAGGTTAAGGAAAGTGGACTTTTTATTCAGCAAGCAAGGGGGAAGCTCCTGAACAGGAGAAGAGCATCTTCAAAGCTGGGATATGACTTTCAAACTTTTTTGACAATAAGTCACACTAAGAAGTACATTTGACGTTGCAACACCTGCCACAAATCTCTCTATATATATATGTTTAGGGAACTCAAACAAAAAGTTTCATGAAACTATAATCACCTCGATGACATGCACTGAATGCCCTCTGATATATTCTATTCCATGTCATTTTTTTCTAAATGACAGTCATGGGGCTTCCCTGGTGGCACAGTGGTTAAGAGTCCGCCTGCCAATACAGGGGACATGGGTTCGAGCCCTGGTCCAGGAAGATCCCACATGCCATGCAGCAACTGGGCCCGTGAGCCATGGCCGCCGAGCCTGCGTGTCCAGAGCCTGTGCTCCTCAACAAGAGAAACCACCACAATGAGAGATACGTGCACCACAACGAAGAGTGGCCCCCACTCGCCACGATTAGAGAAAGTCCACATGCAGCAACGGAGACACAACGCAGCCAAAAATAAATAAATTTTTTTAAAATGACAGTCGTGGCTCACTATTTTATAACTACTAAGGAGTTTTTGACCTGCGATTTGAAAACTACTGGTACGGACTGTACTAGAAACCAGTTAGGAGGCCACTGTAAGAATCTAGACATAAGGTAATAAAAAGTTTGACCTGGGCTAATGGCAAGAGCATGAGAAAATAGGAAAAGGCCACCTGGTCTCAGGAACAGGACTTAGACCACACCTCCCCCAAATAACTGGCAATTGAAAAAGAAAGAGAGAGAGAGAGAGAGGGAGCGGGGGAGAGGGAGAGAGAGAGAGAGAGAAAGCGGCATACAAATTGGTATTTTCTACAAAACAAATTCTCCAGTAGTTTTTCAACTGAATTAACCTTAATCTTTGGCTGTCTGTGTTCATGGCCTAAAATGTCAATTTTCCTAAGATTTGGCAGTAACTTTGTTCTTCTTGTCACAAACCTGAAAAAAGGTCGGTGCAGCAACAGCTTGAAGACAAAAGGAGAAGAGATCTGTAAGAGAATTAACTAGTTAGTTCTGGGAAAGACACACCAGAAAACAATTTAGTATATATAATGTTCCCTACATTTTGAAAACATACCTGATAAGGCAAATTTGCCACACAAGCATCAAAAAATGGCAAATCTGTTTTCAACACATCACCCACCATTACTTGAAGTTTGCTGGCCAGAGGCCTGATAATAAGAAAAGAAAAGCAATTAAAAAGAATATTGTTTCATGAGACTGAAATGCACTTTAATTCTATTATGTATACTCACGTGCCCTGAACTCTTTTGTGAAGTTCAGCTACTAGCCTTATGTCAAGTTCACAGGCTATTACCTAAATTTTAAAAAAAAATTTTTTTTAGGTTAATTATGGAGTATAAATCTTTTCCTGTTATCTCAATGGAAACTCTTACATGATTTAAATGAATTAAACTCCTTTTCCCAATTCTACCATCAGTATTCCTTCAATTGTACTCTACCAGCATATTTTTTTTTTTTTTTTTTTTTTTTTTTGCGGTACGCGGGCCTCTCACTGCTGTGGCCTCTCCCGTTGCGGACCTCAGGGTCCGGACGCGCAGGCTCAGCGGCCATGGTTCACGGGCCCAGCCGCTCCGCGGCATGTGGGATCCTCCCGGACCGGGGCACGAACCCGTGTCCCCTGCATCGGCAGGTGGACTCTCAACCACTGCGCCACCAGGGAAGCCCCAGCATATTTTAAAGAACTTATTTAAGAGAATTTAATGAAGAGAGTATTTACAAAATGTGGGAATGGGGTTAAGGGAACAACAACAAAAACACCACCCAGAAAAGTAGACAACCGGACTATGTGAGCGTTCTACCCAAATAATTGATAGAAGTATTGTGCTCATATGGCTCCACGCTTCGTAACTCAACTGGTGGCGAAAAAAATACACAATATGTCTTTGTAGTAAATGTTCTTAGAAGCCCACAAAGCAACTGCTCCTGGAATGAGTATATCACTTCTCTCATCTACTAAGATCCAGAACATACAGCACAGATAACTTCTCAAGTAAATGAAAAGGGATACCAGATAGGCTAAAATTTTAATTTTATTTCAATATAAGCTGAGGTTTTACTTCCAGGAAGACCACATCTACAGAGTAGATATATGTGCCGTTTAGTCTCTTTAGCTCCCAGGTCCATTCTCCAGCTTTCTCTGTGCCTGTAGGGTCATACAGTTCAGCTCTGTTGCCCTTTGACTTCTGGTTGGGATTGGCTACTGAAAGGCAACGGCCTGATGAAAGGCATTACCGGTGCAATGGGCAACGTTGAGTATTTCCTAATGTCTGCCCGTGCCTTGCACAAGTTTTGGCAGCGGCTGTGTTCTGCTATGAGTGGCCCCTGTTCGATGGCTCCTGCTCTTACTGGGCTCCGGTAACACACTTCCCTCCTCTTGCCCCTTGAGGTCTTTGGATAGTAACTATTTCCTGCTGTTGCTAGTCCCTAGGTTTTTCACTAATGTTTACTGGTTCCCTTAACATTCCCTCATTTTGTCAATGGTCTCTTCATTGAGCTCTCTTCAGAGAAGTTCTTTAAAATGTGTTGCCTACTTCCACCAGAAGACACAACAGTGGTCTAATTTAAATGGAACTAGGTAAGCCAAGAGACAAAGAAGGTACCAGCAGTGGCCAGGTGACACCCTAATCTCAGAGGCCTGTGCTAGATCTCCTCCAAAGTCCTAAGGTCCAATAACTCCAATTGCTGTACTTCGTTCCCCTGAGCCTAGAGGTGGTAGCTGCTCTTTGTAATTACTACTATTGGGTTACCTCAGCGTTCCCATTTTTTCTCTTAGTCCTCTAGTAAACATGTAACCAATTCCCTATATTAAATTCCCTGTATTGAAATATCCAGTGTGGTTTGTTTTCCTGATTGATATACCCCATATTTTCTTTTTCTTTTAATCCATTTTTAAAAACTGAGATACAATTGACATATTACATTCGTTTCATGTGTACAACATAATGATTAGATATATGTAACATTCGTGACCACATAATTACAATTTTATTTTCTTGTGATGAGAAATTTTACTCTCTTTAGCAACTTTCAAATATACTGCACAGTACTGTTAACTATAGTCACCATGATGTCCATTATATCCCACGGCTTACTTATTTTATAACTGGAAGTTGGTATCTTTTGACCCCCTTCACTCAGTTCGCTCATATTTTCTAAGATAAAGTTTCTAGCAAAGGAGCAATTAATTAATTAGATCTGTAAGCCACCTGAGCTTGCTCACATAGTAATTTCTGATACCAAACACTAAATCCTCTTTTTACCTTTTTTGCCTTTTCTAGCAACTTTACAGTCATATTGCCAGTTCCAGGTCCAACTTCCAGCACCACATCAGTTGGTCTTAAGGCAGCCTACAAGCAAGCACAACCACTTTACCTTTATAGGCACATCTGTAATAATTTAATTTACATCTGAATATCTTTACTCAAAAGTGCTCAGTTAGAGCTTATCCTGACTCCATTTTTAGAAGATTCCTTCATGATCTATGTGCTTAACAAAATTATCTCATTAACATTAGGTGCAAGTGGAAATCTAACACCTCTCATAACTTGGGGCAATAGTTAGGAGTCAGAAAAGCAGGAATAGCAGTTCTGAGAGTTGCATTCTGCTTTATACCTTTGAAATGATTCCAACAGCATCTTGTTACCAACTCTGTTATCACCAAGTTCAAACTGGAAAGGTCAAAATGATGACCTTGCCTGAGAACCATAACACGTTGTACCAGTATTTCTCAATTCTACACCCATGTATGGTTTCAGGGATGCAGGAGTATCCAGAAATTTTACACAAAACTTGGTGTCTGTATGCACACAGTTGCAGTTCATAGCTTTCATCAGATGCTCAAAGGAATCCATGAGCCAAAAAGGTTAAAAAGCTAGGCCAACTCTCATTTTGTAAACGACACTAAGTCGAGATTACCTACGTAATGTTCTTTCTACAGCTCCAGGATGCTTCCTTTGCAATCCTGAAAGTAATCTGCACCACCTGTGTTTCTTGTCCTAGCACCCAATCATCCAAAACAATAAGAGAACATCAATAGACCCATACAGGAAGAATACTCCAAAGAGTTTATATGTGGCATTGGCTTATACCATATAGGTTTCTCTGGGGAACAAACTTCCAAAGGTGTCTGTTTAGACATAATTTTAGGGTCTGGAGTAAATAAAAACTAACAGTGATAGATGGTGCCTAGAAAAAGTGATTGGGAATAAAAGAATAATAATCTGGAATCGAACAAGTAGAAATGTCAAGCTAAGAAGTAAATAATCTACAGAAAGATAAAAGAATTTGGAGCCAGGAGAAGCCGAGACCCACAGAAGAAAGCAAATCATATTGAAGACAGCTTGTGAATCCTACACAGTTCCTCAATTCATTCAACAAGTATTTATACAGCATCTATTTTGTGCCAGGCATCCTTTCTGTGCTTAGATATTCCTAAGAATAAAATCAGTAACCCAATAACTCTCTCCCTCTCCTCTTCCACACCCACCTTATCGATAATGCTGTTAACAATGAGAGGATTTTTCAAAACGTGCTGCCCAATCCCCGTGTTGAACATGAGTCCTGGAAGAAAACATGAAATAGCCTTAATTTCCCAACTAAAATCAAATATTGGACCATCCCAGAGAAGAAAGCAGGATAGTTGAGTTAAACTATGTGCGCCAACGAGAGCCACCAAACGTCACGCTTGGAGCCGGGATGACAGTCTGTTTCAGTTCACCCCTTCTGCTGGAAAGGAAGCCAGAGGCTGCGCGCCAGGCCTGCGGCCCGCGCTCCAGGAAACCCGGGACTTGCGCGGCTCCCAGAGCACGGGCCACGCCTGGTCTCACTGTCCCGGCCCAGAACTCCGTCCTCGCCCCGGGTCCGGTGCTGCCGTAAGACCCAACCCGACGGACCCCAGCTCCCTCCCGGCTGTCCCCACCTCCTACGCTCTTCAGCTCCCGGCGTTGTTGTTGCCACCGGCCGCTCGCCCCTGACTTAATCTTCGGCATCTCTGCAGGCAGCAGGCCCACAGGCCGGGGAAGTTAGAGAGGACCGGAGCTTGCAACCGCGAGTCACCGAACCACGTGGGAATCGCCGGCCCGAACCAACAGCACAGGTCCGGGCCACGTCTGGGAGGGGCGAGGACCCGCCCACTGTTTTGCTCCGTGGTGCGCCCCCAGACAGAGGGCCGACCTTGGGGCCCGCTGGCCGCCGGGAATTGAAGTCATAAGCTGGGAGAAAGCCTGTCCTCGGAAGCCTACAGATCCCAGAAGACACCGCGCTACCGATTCTGGCAGTTTGGATTGGCTAATTTGGAATCGGGGGCGGAGTCTCGCCCCTACCCACACCGAATGGGTTAAACAGGTTTTGGTGTGGTACCTCAAGGTTGTGGAGGAAGTTTAAGTTATATTAACGCAGTTAGGGCTGTGGATGCTTCATCAGGCCAGGTTCTGGAATCGCTAAAATGCAAAGAAGGTTTCTTTTTGTCACGTGCCTCGCTCCTGTTTCCCAGCCGATCGTGGGGTGAGAATCCCAGGAACTTGGGAAGAGGAGCTTGCTCCTCTAGGGGAGTGAGTTCTCCGCTGCTTGAGTTGTGGAAAGTAACTCTAAGAATGTAATTTTCTAGTTCCACTACTAGTTGCTTCGCTTCCTTTTGTGCCACGTCATTAATTTCCTAAACTTTTCCATATTGAGCTCTAGCTGTGTATTAAACACTATTGGGTGCTAGAGATTCAAAGTTAAATGGGAAACTGCTCTTCTCAAAGTTTATTCTACTGAGAGAGTTAAACAAAAAGTCCGAAATTCTGTAAATGTGGTAATTGTTATGCATTGGATATTGTGATAGGACAATGTATCCGACTGTAAGTTCCATGAATACAATGTCCATGTCTATTTTGCCTGCCATTGTAATGGTTCTCAGTTTTGTTTTTGTTTTTGTTTTTTTTTGCGGTATGCGGGCCTCTCACCGTTGTGGCCTCTCCCGTTAGGGAGCACAGGCTCCGGACGCCCAGGCTCAGCCGCCATGGCTCACGGGCCCAGCCGCTCCGCGGCATGTGGGATCTTCCTGGACCGGGGCACGAACCCATGTCCCCTGCATCAACAGGCGGACTCTCAACCACTGCGCCACCAGGGAAGCCCCGTTCTCAGTTTTTAATGTTTCTGTGTGTACCTTATTTCCTTGAAGAAACAATCTTTTTATGTTTTTACCAAAGCTGACTTTCTTTCCTGCACAATTGATTGTGAGCATTCCCAAGCCTTGCTCTTTCTTTGCTGTAATTCTAATTTAGGAAAAAAAAATTTGTGTACCCTAGTAGCATCTTCAACTACCTCTTTAATTCCACTGATCATTAATTTATTCCACAATTCTGGAGAATCTACAGTGTGCCAGGCACTTTGTCAAATGTTAAGAACTTAAGAATGAACATGACCTGATTCCTGCTTTTAAAGAAATTTCTATCAATAGAGGAAGACATAGCACCATTTGCTGATATCTTATTTCACCATTTCAAACAGTTCTCTAAAATAGGGGCTTATCATTGTGTTCATTTTACAGATGAGGAAACTGAAGGATAAAAAAAAAGTGTTAAATATCTTACTTAAGATCACACAGTAAATGACAGCTGCCTCTTGAACCTAGGTCTGTATTCCAAAGACAGTGTGCTTTAAAAGAGGCATGATCTTAGCACTATGGCTAATACTTGAGGAAACTGGGGAACATTTTCAAAATATAATATTTGAGCTGAATCATTAAAAGAGAACCAAAAATTAGCCAAGGAAAGTTTGAGAATTCAAAGGGAACGGTACTAACAAAGTCAAGATATAAGGGTATTTAAGGAAGAAAAAGAAACTTGGTGTAGCTGAGAAGTAAACAGGTAATGTAAATAGAAACTTAGGGTGAAGGGCCTCAAATGTTATCCCAAGGAGCAATGGTGGTCACTGAGGAATCAAAATAACCATTTTCCCTCTCCACTCCTCTCCAGCTGTGAGAACTGCCAGAGCTCACACAACAGTACCTGTAGGAGACATTCACGGGCTCCACATTTAGCTGGATTCTGAACCCTGCCTAGCCAGCTCTTCTTGAACTCCCTCTAACCTTCCTCTCCCATTCTCCATAAAGGATCTTCAAACTTAATTCTTCTCAGGCCTCCTGCCCTACCACCTCCCCAGCTCCTTCTCAGCAGAAAACCTTGCTTTTTCTTTTTTTTTAATATTTGTTATTTATTACAGTGAAATTGCCTAGTTTCCTTAGTTCTGTCACCTTTCTTCCTTTCTTCCTTCCTTCCTTCCTTCCTTCCTTCCTTCCTTTCTGCTGTGTTGGGTCTTCGTTGCAGTGCACAGGCTTCTCATTGCAGTGGCTTCTCTTGTTGCAGAGCACGGGCTCTAGGCACGTGGGCTTCAGTAGTTGTGGCACATGGGCTCAGTAGTTGCGGCACATGGACTTTGTTACTACACGGCCTGTGGGATCTTTCTGGACTAAGGATCAAACCCGTGTCCCCTGCATTGGCAGGCGGAGTCTTAACCACTGCGCCACAAGGGAAGTCCTGACCTTGCTTTTTCTTGACAGAAGGAATGCAAGATCACCTCCAGGACACTCTCATCTTCCTGGGTCACTGTTCTACACATGGGGGGGTGTACAGTGAGTGGTGAGCAAAACAAAGTGGAGCTTACATTCTAGTGAGGAAAAACAGACATTATGTCAGGTGATGATAAGTATGAAGAAAAAAGTAAAGTAGAGGAGAAAGAGATCAACAGGGTGGGTGAGAGAGGCTATTTTATGTAGCATGATAGAGAATAAGGATGGAAGCCAAATGATAATTTTCTTTAGGAGTGAAAGAGCAAGACCCTGCTGGAAGTTGTCACAAAATAAGCCACATAAAACTAAATGGCTGGGCTTCCCTGGTGGCGCAGTGGTTGAGAGTCCGCCTGCTGATGCAGGGGACACGGGTTCGTGCCCCGGTCCGGGAAGATCCCACATGCCGCAGAGCGGCTGGGCCTGTGAGCCATGGCTGCTGAGCTTGCGCGTCCGGAGCCTGTGCTCCGCAACAGGAGAGGCCACAACAGTGAAAGGCCCACGTACTGAAAAAAAAAAAACAACAAAAGAAAAACTAAATGACTGAGGTGAGTGTGCACATTTAGCTTACCTACAGACTGAATTGGTGTTTCTTTAGGTATGAACCTTGAGTCACCTAAATCTGAAAAACTAGGGCACATGTTACATAGTGGACTGTGTTTCCCCAAAATTCATATGTTGAAGCCCTAAACTCTGGTACTCAGAATGTGACTGTATTTGGACATAGGGCCTTAAAAGAGGTGACTAAGTTAAAATGAGGCCTTTAGATTGTGACCTAATCCAATCTGACTGGTATCCTTATGAAAGGAGGAAATTTGGACACACATAGACACACCAGGGATGTGTATACACAGAGGAAAGACCATATGAGGACACAGCCAGAAGGCAGCCATCTGCAAGCTAAGAAGAGAGGCCTCAGGAAAAACAAACCCTGCTGACACCTTGATCTTGAGTTTCTAACCTCCAGAACTGTGAGAAAATAAATTTCTGTTATTTAGGCCATCTAGTCTGGGGTGTTTTATTATGGCAGCCCTCACAAACGAATACCACATGTAATGAAAATTCACATTCCCAAGGCCCACCATAAACATTCTGGATCAGAACAGGATTTAGCCCTGGCAAATGCATTTTTAACAGACCCTCTAGGAGATTCTGATGCATACTACAGGTAGAAATTCACTACTTTCTGCACTAAAATAACATATTTGGTTGAGGAATTTCTACAGAACTGAAAAAGGATGGGAAGGGCACCCTCATCAGTACAGGAAAATTGTTCTAATAATTGGTATTGCTTATTATTCTGGCCAAATTCCATCCAATTGTTGGGATTTTTTTTTCTGTTAGTACCAAGGTAACATTCAGAAGTGAGACAGTATTGGGTACAGCATGGATCCATGAGCCCTAGGGAATATGTGATGCTGGATATGAGCTGCATTAAAGAAATGTGTATGCAAGTTATGCTGGAATGTATTTGAGTTATCTTTGCAGCTTTGTAATTGTAAAATTGTAAAAAATAATTTTATGCTTCTCTGCTTCATATTTATATCCTTTGTTAATTAAAAATAATTATTTTTCAGTTTGGGTGTGTACAATTGATTACTGCCATTCTTATAGTGTTTTTTGTTAACAAAGTGTATCATAACTTGAAAAATATTGACAATAACATTTGCTTTGGTAGAAGAGGATTATTTAAATTCATAGCATGCTTGAAATGATAACATTCTTAATGTGCCAGGGAATATAATAAAGAATAAAAATAAAACATTGTGAGCATTTTCTTGTATAAATTATAGTTCCTTGCAGACTTTTAATGTATTTAGAAGTCATAAAAACATTAAGAATGTTTGAATTTCACACTTTTAACATGGATTTATTAACGGAAATACTATATTTCTATGAAAAAATAATTCACCTGGACAAGATAAAACAAAATCAAATTGAAATTTACTTAATATCAAGCTGTTTAATTTGATTAGAACAAAAAAATATTGTGCCAATATCCAATACTAAAATGAAGTGCTGCCTTACAACGTAGAACAATTTCAAAGAGTACCTAGAGACAATTTCTACTATGCTGTCTAAATCTTAACAGAAAAATGTGATGAAATTAGGCTGAAAGAAGTAATATACCTTGAATACTATGAGCAAGAGTCTTCTATAAAAAATGTTCTAATTTTTTTCAGATTATTAAAATGCTATTTTAAATTAATACAATTAATTAAGAAAGAAGACTTTGGTCTCTGTTTAATACCAGTATGATGAGTCTAAGCATTGTCAGTGAATATCTAATAATTGTTAGTGAAAATCTAATATCGAATCATTGATACCTACCAAAAGTATCTGTCAGATAAATGTGTTCATATCATTACCATAAAATAATATATATTCTGTTGCAAAAGGAAGCACTTTGAAACTTTCCAAATACAACAGGAAAATTATTGTACTAAGAATTCTATTTGTGGATTATTATAGAGCCTATTTCATATTATATTTTTAATATTTGTATTTATATATTATATTTTCATATTGCATTTTATGGGTTTCAAAGTACTTTCCACACA